ATTACTGCTGGAGCAGAAATCGGTTGGCAGCTGTCTCCCTCGTTAAGAGTTAGTGCGCAGCCGGGCGGTGGTGGCGCACGCCGTTAATCCCCCACCACACGCCTTTAATACCAGCACTCGGGAGGCAGAGGCAGGCGGATCTCGGTGAGTTCGAAACCAGCCTGGTCTACAAGAGCTAGTGCCAGGACAGCCTCCAAAGCCACAGAGAAACCCTGTCTCGAAAAACCAAAAAAAAAAAAAAAAAAAAAGAGTTAGTGCGCTAAAATTACTACTAGAACTAAAGGCGGGAGCCGGGCGGTGTCGGCACACGGCTTTAATCCCAGCACTCGGGAGGCAGAGGCAGGCGGATCTCTGTGAGTTCGAGGCCAGCCTGGTCTACAGAGCGAGTTCCAGGACAGGCTCCAAAACAATACAGAGAAACCCTGTCTCGAAAAACAACAAACAAAACTAAAGGCGGGGACTTCCACATTCGTGCTCAAAATGTCCTTTCTTTCTTTTTTTCATTCAAGACAGGGTTTCTCTGTGGCTTTTTTGGAGGCTGTCCTTTCTTGTAAAAAAAATAAAAGTTATAATCACTAGCCATAGCCACCCCTCAACTTTTTCTCCCTAATCTAACAGCGATGCCAGAGACCACTCAACAAAAAGAACACATACTCAGAGCTATCCCCTGGCTTTCTGTTCACCAGTGAAACACCAACAAGACCTGCCTCACTTCCTCCCCATGCGCAGCAAAAAACTTCATTTTTATGCTTATGAATATCCAGTTTCCCCACACTTAGTATTCTGATTGCTTACTCAGGCTCAGAATCTGGACCACTTCCTGGCTTGTCCCTTTCTGCCTCGCATTGCTCTCTACTCAGAAATCTACACAATCTGCACTCTGCTCTCCGCGTTTCTGCTCATATTGGCCCAGAGAAACCTTTCTGGATACCCTATTTAATTTTGATACTTGATACTCTTGACTGCTATTTTCCTTTTCTTACTGTACGTATAGTATAATCTACCATATTCATACAAGTTTTCTTAGGCGTAGGGCTTGTTCTCTGGTTCCTTTGTTCACTGATATATCTTAAATACTTAACACTCACACAATTACTTAAATGCTTGTCTACCGTGGCATGCTGACCCCCCCCACACACACCATGCAATTAAAAAAAAACTTTTTAAAGAAAGGAAATTTCTCTGGGAAAGGTGGGGGAGTGGACATCGGTTAGATAAGGAACATCAGGTCGGTAATCGAGATTATTTCGGTATGCTACAGCAGGTCTTACTGCCTTACAATATACAATTTCCCAAAACTATTGTTTTGATACAGGGTCTCATGTCACCTAGGCTGGTTTCAAACTCAATGTGCAGTGAAAGATGACCTTGAACTCCTGATGTTCCCACCTTCGATTTTTATTTATTACTGGTTTTTTTGTTTGAGACAGGGTTTCTCTGTATAGCCCTGGCTGTCCTGGAACTCACTATGTAGACCAGGCTGACCTCAAATCAGAGATCTGCCTGCGTCTGCCTCCTGAGTACGGGCATTAAAGGTGTGTGCCACCACCAGGCTATCTTCATTTTAAAGACTGAGATTACAGGCCTGAGTCACCAAACGCAGCTCTCACAATGAGTGCTGCTTCACTCATCCATTTCCTCCCTATGCCAGTGCCCCAGCTAGTATGTTTTAATCTATTATTTAATGCTCCTGATACCTTTTGAAGAGGGGATTCCTGTTTTCCCCTTCTGTTTGAGGTCTGTTTTCTTCAGATTGTCTTTGAATTCCTGGGCTCAAGTGACCCTTATTCTGCAGTTTGAATAGTTAGGACTAAATGTGTGTGCCACTGTGCCTGACTCCTTTAGTCATTTTTTTCTGAACTTTCTTGACAGGGTTTCTTTGTGTAACAGTCCTGGCTGCCCTAGAACTCACTCTGAAGACCAGGCTGGTCTCTGACTCACAGAGGTTCGCCTGTCTCTCCCTTCCAAGTGCTGAGATTAAAGGTGTGCACTACCACTGCCTGGTCAGAAAACTTTTTTTTAAGTCTGAATGTTTGCCTGCAAGCCAGAAGAGGGCACAGATCCACCATGTAGTTGCTGGGAATTGAACTCAGGACCTCTGGAAGTGAAGTCAGTGCTCTTTACCTCTGAGCCATCTCTCCAGCTACCAGCCAGAAAGCTTATACGGAGGAATCACAGCCAGTAACTGAGAGACTAATACTTATTCTAAATCCATCTGATTAAATGCTGAAAATAAAACTAGTTCCTCTAAAAGCATTTCCCATAGAAAATTGAATCTAGATTGCTAAAAAGCACTAAAAAATGTCAGGGCATGTTGGCTCAGGCTTTTAATTCCAGCACTTGAGAGGCAGACACAGGCAGATCTCTGTGAGCTGAAAATCACACAGTGAGACCCTGTCTCAAAAAAAAAAAAGTACTGAAATAAATTTAGAATAAATTGGAATTCCTGGAAATAATTCCAATAGAAAAACTCGGAATATATTAACCAGAACACATTTCGAGGGGGAAATCCATTTTATTTTTGAGAAACTTCCAGCACTAAAGTGCCTTTTTGTCAGATTCTTGTGAAAGTAGCCCAAACCAGGTGTTTGTCTAGAGACTACACACTTCAGACGGTCTCCTCAAGTTCTGAGTACTTGAGTTACGGCAGCACAGACTTCTGCAGCTGTGTCCACATGCAGTGGATAACATGCACAGGTGTGGGCCGGGCGTTGGTGGCGCACACCTTTAATCCCAGCACTCGGGAGGCAGAGGCAGGCGGATCTCTGTGAGTTCGAGGCCAGCCTGGTCTACAAAGTGAGTTCCAGGACAGCCTCCAAAGCTACAGAGAAACCCTGTCTCGAAAAACCAAAAGAAAAAGAAAAAAAACCATGCACAGGTGTTGTGCTGGATAGGAATGGGAGCAGTTTGTGGAAGTAACCCACGATCAGCGTTCCCAAATGAAGTTGCTGTTAAAACGGCTGCCCTCCACAGACTGTTTGCGGATATGCTGGTCCTAGGTGTTGTACGTGTGAAACTGAGTGAGCTGAGCAACATGCCCATGCTACCCCACCTCGTCACTCAAAAGGCAGGCTTTATTCTGTTCTGTCCCTCGCAGGGAAAGTTGGTTTTTGTACTTACCAAAAGATCAAACCTGTCTTCTAGCTGGGCAAGTGCCCCATGCCTGAACTGAGGGCTGGGATCTACTAACAGGAGGCTGATGTGGGAATTTCTTTGTTTTTGGCAATGAATTCTTGGATGTGACACCATGAACAAAGCAAACTGTACTCCACAGCGATGGAAAAGCTCTGGGCATTTGGCTGGGCATGGTAGCAGATGCCAGCCATCCCTGTTCTTGGGAGGCTGAGACAGGAGGACGTTCCAAGCCAGCCAAGGCCATTTCACAACAAACAAACATCGGAGGAAACAATCGACAGAATAAGAAGATAACCCAGAGTGGGTGGCAACATCTGTGCATCAGGTGTCTGACGAAACAAACTCCAAACTGGTGGCCAAAAAATAATTTGAGAGGTGGCTGAGGACTTGAATGCTTCTTCAATGGTGAAAAGGCTCAGGAAAGGGCTCAGCAGCGTCAGGGTCAAGGGACAACCCTGGACCGTCAGCTGGAGAGGATAAGGTAGCTAGACTGTATGTCTGAGGCCAGCTTGGGCTACCTAGAAACCCTAACTCAAAAATAAATACCAGTGAAGGCTAGGACTCTGGAAAGCTAATGTGTTACTCCACGAGGGGGCAATGTTTACACACTAACCTTAAATTCTCTCTTTTAAAGCCATGCAGAGAAGGTATCCTGGGAGAATACTGGCTAACCTTCCTGCCTCTTCTACAGGTGCTGGTGTCAACTCCTGAACCACTGGAGGTGCTCCAGTCAGGAGAGCAAAAATGGGAAGCTGATGGCAGCAGAGAAACAAGAGCAGGCTCTCTTAGTGGGTCAGAGCACTTCCTGTGGGAAATTCCAACTAGAGGTTGAGTGCATACAGGACAGCTCTAGCAGGAATTGTAACTGTCTACAGAATTAACAGGTTACGGGACTTGACTTTCCAATTCAGACCTAGAGTAGAGTCCTACAGGCTCTGCACGGTTCTGATGCTGACACTGTACTGCTCATTCCAAGCACCTATACTTTTTTTCTTACTGTTCATTTACTGCTTTGTTATGTTTTTTGAGAAAAGGTTTCTCTGTGTAACAAACCTAGATGTCCTAGAACTTGCTTTGTAGACCAGGCTGGTCTTGAACTCACAGAGATCCCCTGCCTCTGCCTCCCGAGTGCTGGGATTAAAGGCGTGCACCACCATGCCCAGCTACATTTACTGCTTTATCACCCACCTAGTGCATTTTCCCTCTGCGCTTCCTCCCTTAGCTCCTTCAGAAAAACTCAAGGACAGAAACAGGAGTTAGCTTTGTCAGGTTTGTTCTTGGGATTCTTTTGGACAAGGATTTCAGCATTAGTTTAGTTATAGAATTTAGTAGGAATGCATACATACTTCTACTCAGAGGGTAGAGGTAACTTAGTAGAGTCTCATCTGCATTTCTAGTGAGACTTGTTTGGGGCTCATAAAAATTGAGTAGGAAACACAGTCTATTTTTTATAGTTGGAGCTTTTCCTGGCCTCCCCTAGACTCTGACAAGGAACTTTAAAATTCTAAAAGCACAGCAATGTAGCCGGGAAGTGATGGAGCACTCAGGAGGCAGAGGCAGGTGGATCTGCAAGTATGAGGCCAGCCTGGTCTACAGAGTGAGATTCTGTGTCAAAAAACAACAAAAAACCCAAACAAAAATAAAACAGAAACCAAACAAGATACAGCAACTTAACCAAATATTAAGTACGTTCACTTACTTAATTTGATGGCTTACATGTATGTCTGGTCCCTGTGGGGGTCAGAAAAAGAATTCCCTTGGACCTGGAGTTACAGTTGTGAGCCACCAGGTGGGTACCAGGCATTGAACCCAGGGCCTCTGAAAGAGCAGCCAGTACTCTTAAAAAGCTGAGACCTCACTCCAGCTCCACATTCACTAAAATTTTATTTATATTTTCTGTATAAAAGTGGTTTGCACACAGAGAAACCCTGTCTTGAAAGACAAAGTTTTTGTAAATATGTGTACTACATACATCCAAAGGCCAGAAAGTGACGAGAAATCCCCTGAAGTAGAGTTAAAGACCCTGTGAGCCAGCTAGCAGGTGTTGGAACCAAACCTAGGTCCTCTATGAAGAAGCAAGCTCTAAGGGCTGGGTCATCTCTCCAACCCTAACATATACGTTTTTGTCACCATGGTTTCTAGAACTTTTACAAACCTTTATAAACAGAAACTGTACCCATTACATGTAACTCCTGATTGGCCCCTCTCCTAGACTGGCAACCAATATTACTGCTCCTATTCCATTTTTTGATTTTTTTTTAATAAAGGGGTTCATTGCAGACCAATGAGAAAGCTTCTGTATGTTTAAGCCTTCTTGTTCATGTGTGACTGAGTTTACTGAAGAGAAAGGTAACAAATGGGGTTGGATAAAGAAAAGTTAGACGCAGAATTAATGTGGGTCTTCCATCCACAGCCTTAGCAGCCCTGCCATGGATCTGCCCGGTTCTTTCGCATCAAGAAGTTAATCTTCCGAGCCATTTCCATGTTGTAGATCCTCCGGCATGTTTCATAGCTCTCCCGCTGGCGGCGGCGGCAGGGCTTCTCATAGTAGCGCCTTCGCTTTATGACTTCAGTAAGCCCATCAGTAGTGAGGACTCTGTATAAAGACAAGCAATGAAGTCAGGGGCTGTGGCTCATCTGTTCTTTGCAGTTTCACAGCCCATCAGAAGTCAAGGGACAAAAATATGGTGTGCGTGAGAAACTTCCAGTGGAAGCGGTAACAGCGCAGCACTGACCTCTTCCCAGAGGCTCCAGGAAGACCTGTGAGGTAAACTTAAAAAGCAGCCACGGTTCTCGCTCTTAGAGAGCTTACGGTCAGAGTCATGCTTTTGGCCGCCAAACACAACTGAGATATAGGACAGCTTCCCAGGGGGACAGTGGCTCCCTAGGCAGCGCTTTTTTTTTTTTTTTTTTTTTCAAGACAGGGTTTCTCTGTATTGTTTTGGAGGCTGTCCTAGAACTCGCTCTGTAGACCAGGCTGGCCTCGAACTCACAGAAATCCGCCTGCCTCTGCCTCCTGTGTGCTGGGATTAAAGGTGTGTGCCACCAACGCCCGTAGGCATCGCTTTTTAGTCACAGGAACATTTCGGAAACTACACTTGAAGCCGGTGTAGAGGCAAAAGCAGGCAGATCTCTGTGAGTTGGAGGCCAACCAGGGCAACATAGAGAGACCAGGTCTCAAAAACAAAACCCAAACCAAGCCAAACCAGAAATGGGGTAAACCATTTGTAATTTAAAAATGCAAAACACAGAACGCTAAAGTGATGCCTATTGATCTCAGTGAAGAATGCAGTCCCTCCCTCTTTATATTTAAGAACTCATGTGGTGGGGTGCATGCCTCTCAGCCCAGGACTCGGGAGGCTGGTGGAAGAGGATCTCAAGCTTCAGATCAGTCCTGGCAATTTAGATCCTGCTTTAAAATAAATAAAAGAGATATAGCTCAGTAGTAGAGCACTTGCCCCACAAGTATGAACCCAGGCTTACAGGGACATAATTGAAGTCTGAGCAAACTTGGGGGTCTATCTAAATATATGCCCTCATCATATCAGTGATACTAATGGGAGCATTATAATACATTATAATAGCCTCACTTGGACTGGAGAGATGGCTCAGTGGTAAGAACACTAACTGCACTTCTAAAGATTCTGAGTTTAATCCCCAGCAACCACATGGTGGCTCACGACCATCTGTAATGAGATCTGGTGCTCTCTTGTGTACAGGCATACATGCAGACAGACTACTGTATACATAATAAGTAAATAAATCTTAAAAAAGAAAAAAAATCAGCCATTTTGGAAAAAAAAAGCCTCACTCACCATTTTTCCAATATATCAGGTACTCCAATCACATGGCTTTGTGTGGACAGGAGTGTGTAGGTGCTTGTGGAAGCTAAGGATCAATTCCAGGAATTATTCCCCAGGTCCATCCACCTTCCTTTTGTGGAGTGTGTATGTGTCCTACATGTGCTTTTGAGACAGGCTCTCCCATTGGCCTGGAGGGCACCCAATGATTGGGCCAGGCTGGACAGACTTACTTAGACAATGTGGGTAGGAGGGAGCTGGGTAAGGCTTCTCAACCAGGGGAAAGAGAAAACGGAAGCCCACAAGATGAGGTGCACTGAAGAAAGAAACCATCTCAACATCCAGGCATCCATTTTTCCTTAGTGAAGTGAAACCCAGAGTATTGATAAGTGTGGTGGCATGAATCTTTAATCCCAGCACTTTCGAGGCAGAGGCAGGCGGGTCTCTGTGAATTCAAACCCAGCCTGGACTACAGAGTGAGTTCCAGGACAGCCAGGACTGTATTGCACAGAAACAGACTCAAAAACAAACAAGTACGGGGCTTGGGATGTAACTCAGTTGGCAGAGTGCTTGCCTAGCATGAAAGGAGCCCTGGGTGTGATCTCGGGGGCCACATAACCCAGGTGAACACCTGTAGTTCACAGGCACTTGGAAAGCAGAGGCAGTAGTTCAAAGTCATACATGGCCAACCTAGGACACGTGAGACCCTGCCCCTCTCCCCCCAAAAACCCTCAAAGCAACCAAATAAACAAAGCCAAAAGAACTCAAGAAGTAATAGCAAAAGGGCTGTGGGTGTAGTTTAGTGGTGAGTGCTCGCCTATCTTATACACAAGGCCCCTGGCTCCAGCTCCCCGGTCAGGGGTGGGGGTGGGGTGAGCAACTTAAAACAGCAAGGATGCAGCTGAATGGTAGCACTTTGGGGAAGGTGTTACTAGTGACCTTCTGTTTGCAAAGGCAGTGCAAGGACTCGCACGTGAAGAGCTTTGTGTAAACAGATCAGCCTGGAGTTCTGGTGCCTGGCAACCTTACATGAAGGGGAAACTAGCTGCCAGTTTTAGTAAAATTCAACTGATTATGTAAAAGGCGCTGCGCTGCTTACAAGGGGAAGCCGGGGGTGGCAGATCCACATGTCAGTGCAGCCAGCCTACGTCAACCAACGTGTATACAGAAGGAGCCCAGAAGCTGGCCACCAGGAGGAAAAGGGGTCAACCGGGCATGCTTCCAGTGTGCTTGCCTCTCCTAGTTTGGGGGCCGGCCAGTCTTAAGGCTTCCTAGCAACCCCTGCTCTCCACAGCCTCATGTGAGGACTCTAAGAGCCCCTGGTTATATAACAGGCCATTTGTGGCAGTCCCTCTGGACAGACGCACAGGCTTTTTCCTTTGTAAGGCTCCCTCTGCTCCAAACATAGTAAAGGTTTAAACACCTCTCTCTCCTCTCACTTTTGCTGCTATTGTAATCAGATCACAAAACAAGCAACTTATTTTTAAACCACAACCATCAGAAAGCTGAGAAAGGTAACAGCAGACGAGAGTGAGACAGTATATAGAAAAGGCGACCAAAAGGGGGACATTAAAGGACAGCCAAGGAGGCGGTGGTGGTGGCGCACGCCTTTAATCCCAGCACTCGGGAGGCAGAGGCAGGCGGATATCTGTGAGTTTGAGACCAGCCTGGTCTACCGAGAGTTCCGGGACAGCCTCCAAAGCCACAGAACAACCCTGTCTTGAAAAATGAGGAAAAAAAAACAAAAAACAAAAAAAAAGAACAGCCAAGGAAAAGAAATGTGAGAGTAGCTAAGTCGGGAAAGACTGCATGTAGCTGGCAAGGAAGACCAGGCACTCCAGGACCCCACATGTGAGTATTTGCTCAGTCCCCCAGCCTTTAGGCTAAAATACAATTTATGAGATATTTCTGTAACATTATAGTAAGATTTAAAAACAAAAACAAATAGAAATGCATCTTTCTTCTTTGCAAATATATTTTTGTAGTTTTTGAGACAGGATCCTAAGTATCTCAGGCGCCATGGCCTCTTTTTTTTTTTTTTTTCCCGATACAGGGTTTCTCTGTGGCTTTGGAGGCTGTCCTGGAACTAGCTCTTGTAGACCAGGCTGGCCTTAAACTCACAGAGATCCATCTGCCTCTGCCTCCCGAGTGCTGGGGTTAAAGCCCTGTGCCACCTTTGCCTAGTACCACTCTATTTTTAAAATGCAGCTTTCTGAAGAGGGCCTTTAAACTGCCAATACATTCTTAGCCACACAGTTTCAAGTTCATAAGGGAGCCTAACAGAGGTTAGCCCTCGGGTCTGAGTCCAGGAGCCACAATTTCTTCTCTTACTCTAACTGAAGTCTTCCTTGTTCCATGGGATCTTTCTCTCTCCTTCCTTTCTCCCTCCCTTCCTGTTAGTCTCGTGTAGCTCAGCTTTGCCTCAAGCTTGCTACACATGCCTGATCCTCCTGTTTCCAACTCTGAATGCCAGGGCTACAGGCACAGGCCACCACAAGGCATTTTCTATGGTACTGCTGACCAAATGCCTTTCTACTAAGTGAACTCTATACCCAGATCATATTTTTTTTTCTAGGCAATATAAGCTGCCCCCTCAAACTTGTAATTTCCTTGGTGTTTTCATAACCTTCGTAAGAAAAAAGTACTTTATGCCTTTCTAAAGGAAACAGATTTTTAGGCTAGGGACGCAGCTTAAAACTGGTAGTGTGCTTCCCCTGGCATGTATGGAGTCTTGGGTTTGATCCCCTGAGCTGCAGGGAAGGAAGGAGGTGTGTGTGGGGAGGAACACGGTCTATAACCCCAAATTTAGGATAAGGGCAAGAGGATCAAGAAATTAAGGTTATTCTTGGTTATATGGCAAACTTGAGGCCAACCTGGGCTACATAAGACTCTATCCTCCCTAAAAATGAAAAATCAAACAACAACAACAAAAAAAAAACAATTCCTGAAATAACACCAGCTGGAGCTGGAATTAGGGAATGCTACAAGCGGGTACATGGGTGCTGAGTATGGAGCCTGGGGCCACTAGAAGAGCACTCTCAGCCACTGAGCCACGCCCCCACCCTTCCTCTGTCATTTATCTCTTCTCAGGAACCACTCAGGTGCACCCAGAACCAGGAAGGATCGCATTTTTATTTAATACTTAATGCTTCTATTTATTTAGTGTGTGTGCATGCATATGTTATAGAATATTTGTGGATTAAAGAAAAATAAATAAAAAAATCTAACAAACCTCGAGTAATGATTAAATAAGATGGTGACCTGACTTCAACAAAAAGATGATCACCTCCTTCAGGCAGGGGATGGTAAATATTTTATTTCTTTTCTTTTCATTTTTTTGAGTCAGGGTTTCTCTGTATTGTTTTGGAGGCTGTCCTGGAACTCACTCTGTAGACCAGGCTAGCCTCGAACTCATGGAGATCCGCCTGCCTCTGCCTCCCGAGTGCTGGGATTGAAGACATGCACCATCACCGCCCAGCTATACTATATTTCTTATGTTTGCTTTATAATTTTGAGAGTAGAGATGAGGAATACATTCCATCATACAAAAGGGACAGAGTGGTAATGCTGCGGCTGAAATGAGCAATAGGTGAAACCGTAGGCTGGGTTGCAGGGCATTCTCTCTGCGAAGCTATCTTTGTTAAAATAAAGCCCAAAACAGCTAAAAAGACAAGCACGGTGGCATACATCCCAGCACTCAGGAGGCAGAGTGGGTGGGTCTCGGTGAGCTCAAGGCCAGCCTGGTCTACACTGCAGTTCCAGACCAGCCAGAGCTACAGTGAGATTCCCCTCTCAAAAAAAAATCAAACTACAACAAAACAAAGCAAGGGCTGGAAAGATAGCTCACAGCACCCATGTCAGTGGCTCACAACTTCCTGGACTCTAGCTCCAAGGAGGTCCAAATGCTCTGGCCTCCAACAGTACCTGCACTCAAGTGCACATACGCACATACATACATACGATTAAAATAAAAACAGTGACTGAGCCGGGTGGTGGTGGTGGTGGTGGTGGTGGCAGCGGCGGCGGCGGCACACGCCTTTAATCCCAGCACTCGGGAGGCAGAGGCAGGAGGATCTCTGTGAGTTCGAGGCCGGGCTAGACCGATAGCCTCCGAAACAATACAGAGAAACCCTGTCTAGTAAAAACCAAAAAAAAAAAAAAAAAAAAAACAGTGACTGAGGCATGCCAGACTAGGGAAACCTAGAAGAACTAGAGAGAGCAGTGTGGCACCATTGGACTATGATCCATCCCATAGTCTAGTGTTCAGATACCTTTCTATGGAGCCCCTCCTCCAGCTATATCATTTTTAAGGGTATGTATGTGTGTGTGTGTGTATATATAATATATATGTATATTATATATATATTGTTATTGTTGTTTATGTCACCGGTGTGGGTTCCTGCAGAGGGCAGGAGGGTATCAGATCCCTGACATCAGTTGTGGGCACTGGGAACCAAACTTGGAGGATCCTGTGAAAGAGCAGCAAGCACTCTTTACAGAGCCATCTCTCCAGCCCCTAGCTATATATTTTTGCTTATTCTGCAACCCTCCTTTAAACTTGTAACGCCTTCTCATCTTGATTTGTTTCTCCAAGAACAAAATCATGGTTTCTCCAAGAACAAAATTCATGGTTTCTAGGTGGACACATAAGTAGTAGTAGACATATAATCTCAGGACTCGGGAAGACGGAGGCAGGGGAATCAGGAGTCAAGGTTATCCTTAGCTACACTAAGAAACTGTCTCAGTTATTTTTCATGCACTATGCCTCTTCTTGTTCTTCTCTCTCTCTCTCTCTCTCTCTCTCTCTCTCTCTCTCACTCTGAAATGGGGAGAAGTCAACTGAGACTAACCCTAGTCCACGTAGCCCACTGCTCTCAAATCCTTCCTGCCTCCACCCCCAGGTGCTCAGACACAGACGTAAACAAAGCATGCACAAACTTATGGGCTCTTTCCAAAACCTCAGGGAGAATCCAGGGTCATCAAGGCATGGTGACTGCTGGCTGGATAAACCCCATCAAGTATGATTTGGGGAAGAACTTCATGTTTCCAATAGTAAATTGAGGGGCTAAAAAGTGTCCAAAGCCTAAACACTGGGTTAGGACCAGCCTGAGAACGGTTTATGTGGGGGTGAGCAGAGCTCTGATGCTTTTTACCTGGTCAGGGTCCTGTATGCACCTTCCACGTTCCCCTCCTGAACCATCACAGTCCTGGCAATGAACTTCAGGTGTTTAGCCATGACTTTACTTTCAAATCTTCATTCTCCAGGACCTACAGACTGGACAAGAGGCATGGAAACCGGAAAATCAGTAAGAAACCGAAGCCAGAGTCACATTTTACCACAGGTAATTTTATTAAATCTGCAACTAGAGCCTGCACAGGAACCCATGGAACTAGGTAGGAGGAATTCTTCCCATCTTAGAAAGTGCAACTAGGTCTGGAGAGATGGCTCAGTGGTTAAGAAGACCCAGGTTTGATTCCTAGCACCCACATGGTGGCTCACAAGCATCTAACTGTACCTCCAGTCCAGAGGAACCAATACTCTCTTCTGGCTTCTGTGGTGCGTACACATACATGCAAGCAAAATACTCATACACGTAAAATAATGTAACTTTAAAAGCAGGGCGGTGGTGGCACACGGCTTTAATACCAGCCCTCGGAAGGCAGAGGCAGGCGGATCTCAGTGAGTTCGAGGCCAGCCTGGTTTGCATTGCAAGTGCCAGGACTACAAAAATGCTGTCTCAACACTGAAAAAAAGCACAAAAATGTCATTTGAAAAACTGGGTTTTCTCTGTGAATCTCCGTCCGTCTCTAGGGACCTGGAGGCCACGCGAAATACTGTCCTCCCTCCACACGCGCTTGGCCAATCCCCCCCGAAATTTCCTTACCTACGGCCTCAGCACTCAGGACTCCAGGACGCTCCGGACCGGAAGCGGAAGCTACGGAATCCCCGAGGCAGGAGGAAGCGCGCTGAAGGGCGCAGACTGCTGCGGAAGCCGTGGCTGCGGTCTGTCCTTGTGAAGGTTCGCTTCTGAGCGCAGGCGTTGAACTCTACGCCTGACAAAGTCAAGGAACCTGCGTCCTCGCCAGTTTAGGTATGGAGTCGCGGTCCTTGGGTCTGCGAGAAGGTCAGAAGATCCGTAGCTCTAATCCCGCTAAAGCCTTACTAGATCTGAGCGATTTCGTTTTCTGGGTGGGAAATGGGAAGCGTCTTGAGAATGTTCTGTATTTTAAAAGGACAGATCCGCGCAGCACTCGAGAAGCAGAGGCAGGCGGATTTCTGTGAGTTCGAGGCCAGCCTGGTCGACAAAGCTACAGGAGAAACCCTGTTTCTCTCAAAGTTAAGAAACAGAAATTACATACTGTGAGTTTCCCATTTCATCATCCACTAAATTTCATAAATAAAATGGAATCACTAAAGAAATGGGAAACGCCTGTTGTTTTTTGTTTTTAAATGCCAATGCTGTCATTTGTTGCCTTGTAAGACCTGGTAGAAATTTAAAGTTCCTCTTTTTTATTTCTTCCACTTTGTCTTGACAATCTTATGTGTATGCTGTCCCCATATATCCATGTACGGTTATTTACATGGGGTTCAGGAGTAATGAAAACAGAAAAACCTCCCCACAACACACACAGAAGCATCTTCATCTGTTATTTCTTTAGAAGATTTGTTTGTGTTTTATGTGTTTGTATGTGTGCCTGAGTGTGTGTATATGCACCATGTGCATGTAGGAGCCTGTGAAAGATAGAAAAGGTGCTGGATCCCTGGAACTGGAGTTAACGGGTGGTTGAGAGCTGCTATGTGGATACTGGGAACTGTTTCTAACTGGGCCATCTGTCCAGAACGTCATCAGTTAGTAGGTACTCGGACAAAACTTAAGCCTGCGTCATAGTAAACCACACCCAAAGCTCCAAAGTGAAGCTGCACTGGGCCACTATTTCGCCTGTCACTGTTGATACTATTCCAGTGTCTCTTGTGCTACTTCAGGACGTATGTGGACACAAGTTTAGACTGGCTAGCATATAATAAGTGCAAAATTTATTATATGAACAGGCACATAATATGGTGGAAAGGAGTTCTAGTTTCTATTCATATTTTGAGAGCCATCAGGTATATGACTTTGAGCAAGTTACTCAAACTAAGAGTCTGCACTTTTCTTGTATTAATAAAAATATTGAAATGCTGTCATGTTTATTTGTTGATTGGGTGTGGCTGTTTTGGGCTCCAGTGGTAGAGTTGGGTCAAGAAATGGGGACATATGACCTGCAAGCATTTGTGATCCTTATTTGTAGAGTGGCACTAATTGCTACTCTGTTGATCTCACAAAGTTTGTCATAAGAATCAAAGGGGGAAATACATAAAGTTACTTTGTGAATTTTTGTTTTAATTTTTAAGGTTTATTTTATTATGTGCATGAGTATTTTGCCTACATGTGTATGTGCTGTGTATGTGTCTGGTGCGCATGGAGGCCAGAACAGGGAATTGTTTCTTTTTTTTTTTTAAGATTTACTTAGCATGTATACAGTGTTCTGTCTGCACGTCTGCCTGCAGGCCGAAAGAGGGCACCAGATCTCACTGTACATGGTTGTGAGCCATCATGTGGTTGCTGGGAATTGAATTTAGGACCTCTGGAAGATCAGCTAGTGTTCTTAACCACAGAGCCATCTCTCCAGCCCTAAACCCGGGTTTTCTACAAGAGCAAAAAGTGCTCTTAACTCCTGAGCCAACTTTCCCACCCCTTTGTTAATTTTTTTTTACTGGATTAAAAAATTTTTTAAATGTAGCTGGGTGATGGTGGCAAGTGCTTTTAATCCCAGTACTTGGAAGGCAGAGGCAGGTGCATCTCCCTGAGTTCAAGACCATCCTGGTCTACAAGAGCTAGTTCCAGGACAGCCTCTCCAAAGTTACACAGAGAAACCTTGTTTTGAAAAACAAAAAAAGTTTTTTTAATGTGTATGGGTGTTTTGTCTGCATATAAGCCTGGTGTCCAGGGTGGCCAGAAGAGGGCACCAGGTTCCCTGGATCTGGATTTACAGATGTTATGAGCCACTATATGGGTGTTGGGACTCTAACCTGAGTCCTCAAGAGGAACTATCAGTGCTGTTGACCTCTGAGCCTTCTGCCCAATCAATGCCCCCAAGTTTTAAGCCTAGTTATCTAGAAAGTGTCATCATATATTTCATTAACAGAAGAGGAGAGTAATTAATTCTGTGTACTCAGGCTCAAACACAGACTCGTGTATTTGCGTCATAGCAAATAGAGGTCAGAGGACAACTTGCCAGAATTGTTTCTCTCCTTCCACCAGGTGGGTGCCGTGGTTTGAACTCAGGTCATCAGGTAGGGGTCTCTCTACTCACTGAACTATCTCACCAGGCCTTTTGTTTTCAAGACAGGTGTGTGTGTGTGTGTGTGTGTGTGTGCTTACATGCCCTTGTGTGAATGTATGTGCAGACATATGTACAGGTCATGTTCCTGTGCATGCCATTCCAGAAGGGCACTAGATTCCTCAGAGTTGTATAGGCGCTGTGAGATGCCCATGCCTGGCTTATTAGCTGGTTTCTGGAATCCCTACTCTAGTCCTCATGGTTAGAAAGCAACTTCTCTTGATTGCCTAGTCATCTCTCCAGTGCTCCACACTTGTTTTTAAAATAGTCTAAGCTGGTTTGGAAGAAGATATGTACCTGAGGATGACCATCAACCTTTGATCCTCCTGCCTCACCTCTCAAGTGCTGAGATTACATGCACACACCACCATACCCAGTTTTATGGGGTGCTAGGGATCTTAGCCACAGCTTTGTGAAGACTTAGCAAGCCCTTTATAGAGCTAGCTACCTCCCCAGCCATAAATGCTAAAATTTGTAAAAATGTTTTTGTTTTTTCAAGACAGGGTTTCTCTGTGTATCCCTGGCTGTACTGGAACTTACTCTGTAGACCAGGTTGTCCTTAGACTCAGAGATCTGTCTTCCTGTCTTCTGACTTCAGGATTAAAGTTGTGCACCACCGCTGCTGCTGCCGAGCCACCACCCAGCTATACGTGTTTAATTCATTAAGTTTTTTAGATTTAAGTGTATGAGTGTTTTGCCTGCATGTATGTTCAATGTATGCATGCCTGGTGTCCAAAGAGGTCAAAAGAGGGCATCAGATTCAAGATACCAGGTCCCCTGCAACTCATTACAAAGGGTTCTGAGCCACCGTGTGGATGCTAGAAACTAAACCTTGATCTTATGCAAGAGTACTCTTAACTATTGAGTCATTTCTCTAGCCTTCAATAATTAGAAAATAACAGAAATATTTGTTTAGTGTATGTATATTTGCCTACGTGCATATGTGCATATGCAGAGGCCAGAGGACAACTTGTGGAGTTGATTCCCTCCTTCTACTGTGTGGGATCCAGGTATGAAACTCAGCAAGGTTTGCCTACAAGGGTCTTTAGATAAAGGCCTTGAGGCGTTTTGCTGGCCCCTTCAGTAATTTTTTTATAATTTATTTATTTTTGTTTTTTGAGACAGGGTTTTTCTGTATTGTTTTGGAGACTGTCCTAGAACTCACTCTGTAGACCAGGCTGGCCTCAAACTCACAGTGATCCGCCTGCCTCTGCCTCCCAAGTGCTGGGATTAAAGGCGTGTGCCACCAACTCCCGGCTGTAATTTATTTATTTTTATTTTATGTGCATTGATGTTTTGCCTGCATATATGTCTGTGTGAAAATGCCAGATCTGCAAGTGGAGTTACAGACAGCTGTGAGCCTCCATGTGGGTGCTAGGAATTGAACTCGGGTCCTCTGGAAGAGCAGCCAGTGCTCTTAACCACTGAACCATTTCTCCAGCCCCAGTAATTTTTGTATAAGCAGTATATAACTAAAACTCCCTAGCAAAAACGTATACATTCAGTGTACATCCTTAAGGCAAACATTAGAACAGGAAATGAAGATTTAGCATTTATCTAATTTGAGGAAATAATAAAGGCAATAAAAAGTGCAAAGTTAGCATGATTGGATGGATATATGTAGAGAAAAGCAAAGGTCAGAGCCTTGGAGGACACCCATACTCTGGGGTAGGTGGAAACAGGGCCATTAAGAAACCTAGAAAGTGCTGCCAGTTGGGTAAGAGGAGAGTTGGGACTGTGTGTAGTCACAAGATCTAAGGTAGGAAAGTTCCAGAAGCAGCATTGTGTCAAGCGATACAGTGCACATCTTTTTTGAAGGTGCATGGGTTTCACCAATGATTAGGTAAAAGGTAAAACCCTGTAGTGCTCATTCTGTGGGCTCATCAGTTACTTTGGAAGGTGCAACAAAATGAAAATAGCTGGGCTACTTTAATTAACTACAGTGGTAATGAGGTATTGGAAAAGCCACTCTGAAGAATTATGGAGCATCCTGGGGATGTGGGCTTTGTGACAGAGCGCTTGCCTAGCATGCATGGGGACCAGAGTTGAGTCACTAGTACTGAGTGGGAGTGGGACTGGGGAAGAACTAGAGAGCACAGAAGAAGAGAGGATATGTAGCTCAAGCAGTGTTTTCAGTAAGCCAATAACTGATTATTATGGATAGCAAATATGAATTACAAAAGTTTCACAAATAAAAGGAAATCCAGGGGGCTGGAGGGATGGCCCAGCAGTTAAGAGCAATTGTTGCTCTTGTAGAGGATCTAGGTTCAGTCCCCAGCACCTACCTGGTGGCTCACAAACATCTATAATTCCAGCTCTAGGAATCCGATGCCTTCTTCTGGCCTCTAGGTACCAGGCATTCATGTGGTACACATACATACATGCAGGCAAAATACCAGTACACTTAAAATAAAAATAAGTAAGTAAATAAAATGAGCCAGGCATGGTGGTTCATTCTTCCTCTAACCCCAGCACTTGGGGCAGAGGCAGGCCTGGTCAGTGTAGCAAGTTTTAGGCCAATTAGGGCTCCATAGCAAGACCCCATCTCCAAAAAGAAAAATGCATGTACACAACCCATCAAAATCACACATGGAGCTAGAGCAGTGTTTCACATCTGTTGTTCCTGGGGCACCAGAATCACCTTGATTTCCAGGCCAGCCTGAGCTACACAAATAAGGTTTTGCCTTAGAAAGGAGGTCATGTTTTCTGAAATAAAGGGAGGTGACTTATTTCCCAGCAATGGCGAGAGTTGTCTGACTTGTGGGAAGTGTGCTGAGCAGCTAAGGAGCAATGACTAAGATGACAGAATTATCTGCTGCACTGGAAAGGCTGATGAGAGGACGTGGTGTTGGTCGGAACTGGGGCAAATTAGAAAGAAACAGAGACACGGAGAAGGGTAGAGAGCCATGCACTCATGGACTTCACTCAGTAACACTTGAGTAGCTTTCCTTTGTCTAGATACACACGGTTAGCAGGTACCGATGTTTGAATCAGGATTATGGCCCAGAGTCTGAGTCCCTCTATCCCGACCTCAACAATTCTAGGGCACTGTGCCCTCCTCAGAACTGGCACCCTAGCGGCTGTTTTGACTTTCGCTCTTCTGGAGGCAGCAGAAGGTTACATAGGCATTTACCCCCGAGCATCAACAGCTCCATCAAAGCAGAGCTGAGCCAGAGCAGAAGAACCTGCTTGTCTGGCTAGCTGGAAGGTTCCACGGGGAGAGACAAAGGAAGACATACTAGTTTGAGTGTGAACAGAAAAAAACAAAACCAAACCCACCTCAACTCTGAACCTCTAAGTGTCCCAAGGGTGCCCTCACAGGCTGTTATCCTACTCAGACTCTACCTTGTGGAGCTCGTATTCCAACACTTCCGTCCTGTCTTCTTTTCAGAAGCCCAGTGGGTAAGATTTACAGTATTTATGGTTTTCAATTTACCACAGCCAGCAAGGTGTTTCAGTAAAAAAAAAGTCTTTAATCAGAAAGGATTTATTTTTCCTTGCCACAAATACATTAAAAGTTAAAAAAAAAAGAAAAGAAAAAAGAATACCACATAAACATAAATTTACGCAGACTGGAAACTGGAGGACAGGTGTAAGTCTGGGTCGGGGCTAAGGACCAGGGGCAACTGCAGACTCTAGGTGTCCTGTAGTCCTGTCTCTGACTGTGGTAGGTAGAACTGGGGGACAGAGGGTGCGGCTCCAGTCTGACGGCAGCATTACTGGCACACTGTGGCAACAAGGCCCCTCTCCAGACAGTTTCTTCAGCTCACCAGGGACGACAGGAGGCAGTGTAGTTGGTGGAACTGGGGTGCCTGGGGCAGAGCGGGTGGAGGGCTGTCCCCCTTTCTGGAGGACTAGGATGACACCGATGCTGGCTCCAGTGCCTAAGGAGCTGTGGGCAGAAGTGGAGCCCTGGGAACTGAGGGGAGGGTTACAAATTGGAGTGCTGTGAGTCCAGGTGAGGTTCATAGCTGGCCACTCTGTGAGGTGCCAAGACTGCTTTGGCTTCAGAACTGAATGTCCTGGCTGTGTGTGGCCCACCTTTTCCATTCGAGGTGCAGGAGAGGACGCAGCCGAGTCACTGTGGTGGCTTGGGAAGAGCTAGGGAGTGGGGAAAGGAGAAAAACAACGTTAGGAAAGCTTACAGATGAGCTCCACTCAGCTTGGACCTTTGCTGCCCTTGAGAACTCATTGTGCCGTGCAAACACACATTGTTTTGTGCAACAGGTGTGTTATTGCCAGGTGATGATTAAGTAAAAATTTTAGCAATCAAGTAATGCTTCCACTTATTCAACAAACAGTTGAGGCAACTCTGTGTAACACATGCTATTAGGCTATTAAAAATGGACAAGATAAGACAGTCTTACAGTTCACACTATTTATACAATGATTCCTGTTCAGCTTCTTTAAAATACTTTTTTGTGGTGTTAAGAGAATCAAACCCACGGCCTGCTATGTGGCAGGAAAGCATTTCAATAATCCCCAGCCCCATCCAGAGAAGTGTAAGTGAATTAAAGTCCCAAGTTCTGTGTAGGAAATCCTCATTTTCCATGTTTACTTCTTCATGAGGCATGGTCCTGTTACTTATTTTTTAGTCAATTCTTTTAACATCATTAAAACTATAGTTGATTTAATTGGACATGGTGGCATTCGCTTTTAACCCAAGCACTCAGGAGGCAGAGACAGATGCATCTCTGTGAGCTCCAGGACAGCTGAAGCTACAGAGAAGCCCTGCCTTTAAACAAAACAAAGCAAACAAACCCACTATAGACACGAAAGGCTTAGCCAAGAATATTTTGACGACAGTCAAAAGATGGAGAGTGGAAGGGTTTGGAGGGGTGCAAGGAGGAAAGGGTTTCCTATGTCAGTCATTTGGCCAGAAAGTAGGTAAGCCTCAACAGGAGGGGAGGGTTAGATTTCATGGGAGCCCAACAAAATAAAACCAACATCTAGGCTAAGTCTAAAATCACAGTAATGCACAAAATTAGGCATTCCCTCCCCCCCCAAAAAAAACTTAAGGAAAATGAGAGGGGAAACACATTTCTCCATGCATAGTCCATTTCTTGGTTCTTCTCCCATGTCTTCCTTGGTCTTTAGGTTCTTACCTTGCTTATCTGGTGCCTGCTACCTCCTAAGGATGACTTCTGGGCAGCTATATGAGGAAACCAAGTCTTTAACATCCCTTCCACTTGCAGCAAGGTTCCTAGATAACGCTCTCTGTGAAAACAGGAGAAAGTATGAAAAGAGATGTAGAGGATTGTACAAGCTTCCCTCAATAAGATACTGAGGAGAGGAAGAAAGAAATAGGAAAACTTACCCCATCTGAGGCTTCCGCAAAACACCGACTATACGCTGGATACGGTCCATGGCCACACTCTGCTGGAAGCTACTCAACCCTAAGACGAAAGAGAGGGTGACCAGAGAGTGTGGGATGTACCTCAATGCCAAAGAGCTTGCCTAGGGTACACAAGGCACTAGGTTCACTCCCCACCTTGACAGAAAGCAGAGGCAGGGACTGAGGTGAATGTAAAGACAGATAGATAGGCGTTAAGTTACAAATGAAAACACGGAATTACATTACAGGTGCCCAGGACAGAGAGAGATTTAAGAAACATGTACATAGCCGGGCGGTGGTGGCACACGCCTTTAATCCCAGCACTCGGGAGGCAGAGGCAGGCGGATCTCTGTGAGTTCGAGGCCAGGCTGGACGGACAGCCTCCAAAACAATACAGAGAAACCCTGTCTCGTAAAACCAAAAAAAAAAAAAAAAAAAAAAAAGAAACATGTACATTTCATACATGAAGGCTAGCTACCCCTCCCCGCCTCAAGGTAATTAAGTTATTACCTCTGTCGAAGCGGCCCATCTTTAGTCCGTTCAGTAGGTCTGTAAGGGGCCATATGAACCCTTGGAGTTCTTCACACTGTGGGAAAACAGCACAAAGATGAAGGGACCAGCAGTGTTTTTTCTTCTGTCAAGTATCTGACAGCCAACACCATCCTCTTTGGGTCAACCAGTGAGGTTTTGTTTGACACTGCACTTCTGTCTCCTGCTTTCTCTTACCTTCTGAGCAAAAAGCAGGTCTCCCTCTGTGGTGCACCCCTGGGTGTGCAGACTGGTCTCCAGCTCACCGTCTCTGGATCCTTTGACCCTAGATCCTCGCTGTTCCGGATGAGATGCTGCTTGTTGGTTACTAGAAACCCTGGGGCGATGTCTGCAGCGGATAGGACCTGGACTGGGCTGGGAGCCTCCCCTTTGCTCAACAGCGGCTGGCCTGAGCCCATGGGCGCTCCTGCCCTCCCTCTCATTATCAGAGGGGAAGCTAAAGTCACTGTTCACAGGGGATGTAGAAAATGACGAGGAGAGAGAGGAGGAGGAATAAGAGGAAACGCTAGATGGAGAATCCATAGATCAGGAGCAGGAGATGAAGAGCAGCTCCCGCAGTACAAAGATCAGAACCTGCAAGTGAAAAGCAAAGAGAGGGAGTTTGAAATCAGACTCAGAGATCAGGAAAGGGACTGGGAGACTGCGGTGTTCTGAACAGGGTAACACGTTTTTGTTTCTGTTTTTTTCCGTTCTCAACAGAAACAAGAAAAAAAAAAAAACTTGCGTTTCCACCCCCATTCAAAATCCAGACCGCCGGCCCACGCAAAGCTCTTGACCCCACACAGCCTTTCTTCCCTGAGGATCGGAGTGAATACCCGGCTTTACACCTTCCCCTCCGTCTGCTGTTCTGGGCTGTTCCCTGCCAGACATCATAGTGAGCTTATCGACCTAAAAAGCCACCCGCTAGTAGCTGATCTGCGCACCAGAATCCACTTAAGGTCCCTATGGGTACCGCCCCCACGAACACCCGTTTCCATAGCTTTCCCATCTCTCACCGTCAGGTGCCCTGCGCCGGTCAGTCTATGGTCGCGCCTTCCAGGTGATGCAATTCCTCCCAACACCCTGATCTGCGGTCTCACAAGCCCACTGCCTCCGTCAGGGTCAGTTTTCCCGAGCGCTCCGCTCTGGTCTGCTCGCCTGGGTCTGTCGGCTCAGCCGCGGGCGATATCCAGCTCCTTCAACGCCTGTGCCGGTCTAGCCGACCCACCTCCGCCTCACTCTGCGGGTCCCGCCCCTTCCCCCTCCCAGACACGTGCGGCTCTGCACGTGCCTCCCCCTGCGTACACAGACCTTGTCCTCTCATTGGATAGCTTGCCGGCAACACGTGATTCTAGATACCGACACTCACAGCCCATTTGCTACCGCACGCGGGGGCTCGGCCAATAGGGAGACAGCCAAGTGGTGATTGGCTGGAAGAGAAGCAGTCGATGCTCCGCCCGTACATGCGGCCCCTCCGGTGATAAAAAAGGAGGATGGAAAAAAAGTGAAAATGAAGGAAGGGGCGGAAAAGGGTGGAGCTCGTAGCCTTAAATAGGACGGCGCGGCGCGGGAGACTGCGCGACTGGAGTGTGCAGAGCGAGACCGTGCCACGGAGGCGGTGCCTCGGGGCGTGGGCCCCTCTGAGCGCCTCCGCGCACGGGCGCAGCACGTGGGAGCCCTCAGCAACTCGTGTCCGCAACGTGTGTGACAACGGACGTGTGACGCCGGGCTTCCGTTCCCTTGTCGGCGGCTCGCCCTCGTGACTCCCCACTCTTTCATCCTCCCCTCCTCGTCTCCTAGTTGGGTGCCTCCTGCCCTGCTGGGCGAGGAGGGTGGGGACAGCAGCCGGAACACCGCGTCCTCTCCGGGGCTCCCACCGCGGCTGGATAAGCCGGTTCTTACGTAACCTGCCACGCACGTTACCATCTCAGATGCCAGCCCGCCGAGACTCTAGGGGTCAAAGCCGAAGTCGTCCCTGACTTTTCTGCCCCGGGCCCTTCAGCTCAGAATTCTCTGATTCTCGGCACAAGGAACGGAGTAAAGTAGATCGTTGAAACAGAAGGTTATGACTTTATCTGGCTGCAGTTTATCTGTTCCTTTGAGAAGACTCGAAAGAAATTGAGGAAGGCAAAGAGCAAGTCCAGACTCACCAACAAACGTTAACATCCGTTTCACCATGTCATAGTTACAGTGAACAGCAGGACATTGTAGGTTGAAGAAAACAGAGGGATCGCAAGGGGGCACTCTAGTGCTGATCAGAGTAGGGACTTAAAATGGTTTTTTTATTGCATATTCTTACTAAAAAATTGTTGGGACAGGGATATAAGTCGGGGTTTGGAGAATGCGTGATTGTTTTTAAAATATTCGAATACTTTTTACATGTATTTATCAATGTGGTATGGTTATTTTAGAAAGAGAAAAAGGGGTTCTAAATTAAACTTCAGCACTGTTTCCCCAAACACAGTTTCAAGATATCAAATAAAATATAATTAAGCAGGGTGTGATGGCTCATTCCTGTTGTAATCCTAGGAGTTGTATGCAGGAGATAGGTTCAAGACCAGCCTGAGGCACATGGGACCATTTAAAAAAAACAGGAAAACAAATAGAATTACAGGCTCAGAATAAACCTGTTACCTGTGAGTATTCTCTTTTCTATCCAAAACTTTATATTTATTTACAAGGTATGATTTCTTCTAGCTAATTGACATCTAACTCAAGGTGTTTTTGTTTTTGTTTTGTTTTGTTTTTCTGAGACAGGGTTACTCTCTGTAGTCCCTGCTGCCCCAGAGGAACTCTATTTGTAGACCAGGCTGGCCTGGAACTCAGAGATCCGCCTGCCTCTGCCTCCCGAGTGCTGGGATTAAAGGCGTGCACTACACTGGTTTCTAATTCTCTTTCTAATCTTCCCTTCATGCCTCCCAAGTTTTGGTGTACACACCAGCGTTGACTTTAGAACAGAATGTCATTAAGAAGTAGACAGAACAGGAGGGGAGAGGGAATTAGGAGAAAGAGAAGAGGAGGGGAGAGGAGGACATGAGGGAGCAGGAAGATGGAGTCAGGGGAAGAATAGAGGAGAGCAAGAAAAGAGATACTATAATAGAGGGAGCCATTATAAATTTTTTTGTTTTTGTTTCCCCCACCCCAGACACGATTTCTCTGTGTACCTTTGGAGCCTGTCCTGGAACTTGCCTCCCGAAGCCATTATAAATTTAAAGAGAAATCTGGCACTAGGGAAATGTCCAGAGATCTACAAGGATGATACCAACTAGCAATCTAAGCAATAGTGAAGAGGCTACCTTAAACGCCCTTCCCCAATAATGAAATTGATGACTCCTTTATATGCCATCCTAGATCCTTCATCCAGTAGCTGATGGAAGCAGAAGCAGACACCCACAGCTAAACACTGAGCTGAACTCTTGGAATCCAGTTGCAGAGAGGGAGGAGTGCTGAGCAAAGGAGTCAAGACTAGAATGGAGAGACCCACAGAAACAGCTTACCTGAACAAGGGGGAGCTCATGGGCCCCAGAGTGATAGCTTGGAAACCAGCATAGGACAGACCCAGACCCCCTGATGGTGGGTGTCAGTTAGGAAGCCTGGGTAATCTATGGGGCCTCTGGCAGTGGATTAGTATTTATTCCTACTATATGAATGGACTTTGGGAATATCTAGACATGTGGACAAGGGCCTAGGCCCTGCCCCAAATGATATGACAGACTTTAAAGATCCCCCATGGAAGGCCTCACCCTCCCTGGGCAGCAGAAAGGGGATGGGCTTGTGGGGGGCAGGGAGGGATGGCAAGGAGAGGGAACTGGGATTGACATGTAAAATAAGTTTGTTTCTAATTCAAATTAAAAAAGGAAAAATGTAAAAAAGAAGTAGACAAAACTATTTTTTTCTTTTATTTTTCATTCAACTTCTTGCCAAACTCGGCTGAAGAGTCATAGCAGCCTTCTCTCACCTGGAGGGAGGGGGGGATAAAAACAGAATCAGTTGAGTGACCTGGTGTTTAAGAGGACACACTGCTTTTTGTTTTGTTTTGTTTTGTTTTTCAAGACAGGATTTTTTTTGTGCAGCCCTGGTTGTTTTGGAACTAGATTTGTAAACCAGGCTGGCTTCAAACTCACAGAGATCTGTCTCTGCCTCCCAAGTATTGGGACTAAGAACATGTGCCACCACCACCGACAACTGACAATTGGCCAACTAAATTCAATTCCCTGAACTCATGCCAGGTGGTTCCCAAATCCCTGTAACTCCCATTCCTGAAGCTCTAGTGCCTCTGGCCTCCTAAACACGCCACTCATGTATACATATCCCTCCTCTATACACAAACATAATTAAAAACAAGAAATCCAAGAAACAATAACAAGAGGCCAATGAAGTCTTCCCTTTCTCGCATCTCTATGCAAACCCCACAGAGAAATGTTCTGAGAGGGATTCAACATTCTCTGTTGAGAAAGATGGGTTCCTCTCGTGTCTCCCTCCTCCTGCTGAACTTTGCCTCTTGGCTCTCCAGGGTTGTAAGGCACACCCTTTTTGACCTCTGGCACCTGCCATAACTTCAAACATGGACAGAATGGAATCAACCTTGAGTTTTCCAAACTTGTTGGAAGCTTGGCAAAGGCTTCTCTATTCAGCCTACCTCTCTCCTAGGAGGTCTTGAAAGTCCTCCCAGATCAGAAGGAATATATATCACAAGAGTCTTTGCTTCAACTTATTCCAGATTTCTTCAAGATTATATAATTAGATATTTCTAAATGTGATCCTGCTTTTTTCCTTAAGCATAGGAGAACTGAGCAGGTTGGTAAGAATTACTTCATAGCACCCCCACCAAAGCCAGTGACTGCCCTCTTACCGTCTACATAAAATGTATCCCCCCTTGAAGAAGGGTCCATAAGAGAAGACAGGACACAGAACTCTGTAGACTGGACATGGCATCATTCTGATCTGGACTCTGTTAAAACACCCCCGACACACACACAACAGATCATTGTCACCCTTGCTAGCAGTTTCCATTCCCCTTCCGGAACACAGCCATCTCTCTACACTAATCCCCTTCTTCCTTACCTCTGGTCTCTAAGGAGATTCAGCCCTCCTCCCCACCACTGTAAAGAATTCTTCCCATTTGGGAGACCACACTCTCAGTGACACTCAATGTTTTATCTTTTGTGTGCATGACTTTGTGCTAGCCCCTGTGATAGGTGCTTTGGGGGTTTATATATAAGACATACTTCCTATGCTTAGGAGGGGCTTACCATTAATAGAGAACCTACTATGCATTTAAAATGTGTGGGTTATTTACTATCAGGCTTTGCTTGCCAATCCTACTGGTTCCTTTCATTTGTGTTCAACTGCATGTAGGCTGTTTTTTGGTCCCTGCCTCTGCCTCTCTCTGCCTCTCTGCCTCTCTCTGCCTCTCTGCCTCTCTCTCTCTCTCTGCCTCTCTGCCTCTCTCTGCCTCTCTCTGCCTCTCTCTGCCTCTCTCTCTCTCTGCCTCTCTCTCTGCCTCTCTCTGCCTCTCTCTCTCTGCCTCTCTCTGCCTCTCTCTGCCTCTCTCTGCCTCTCTGCCTCTCTCTGCCTCTCTGCCTCTCTCTCTCTGCCTCTCTGCCTCTCTCTGCCTCTCTCTGCCTCTCTCTGCCTCTCTCTGCCTCTCTCTGCCTCTCTCTGCCTCTCTCTCTCTGCCTCTCTCTCTGCCTCTCTCTGCCTCTCTCTGCCTCTCTCTCTCTCTCTCTGCCTCTCTGCCTCTCTCTCTGCCTCTCTCTGCCTCTCTCTCTCTCTGCCTCTCTCTCTGCCTCTCTCTGCCTCTCTCTGCCTCTCTCTCTCTGCTTCTCTCTGCCTCTCTCTGCCTCTCTCTGCCTCTCTGCCTCTCTCTGCCTCTCTGCCTCTCTCTCTCTCTCTCTGCCTCTCTGCCTCTCTCTGCCTCTCTGCCTCTCTCTGCCTCTCTCTGCCTCTCTGCCTCTCTCTGCCTCTCTCTGCCTCTCTCTCTCTGCCTCTCTCTCTCTGCCTCTCTGCCTCTCTGCCTCTCTGCCTCTCTCTGCCTCTCTGCCTCTCTGCCTCTCTCTGCCTCTCTCTGCCTCTCTCTGCCTCTCTGCCTCTCTCTGCCTCTCTCTGCCTCTCTCTCTCTGCCTCTCTCTCTCTGCCTCTCTGCCTCTCTGCCTCTCTGCCTCTCTCTGCCTCTCTGCCTCTCTGCCTCTCTCTGCCTCTCTCTGCCTCTCTCTGCCTCTCTGCCTCTCTCTGCCTCTCTCTGCCTCTCTCTCTCTGCCTCTCTCTCTCTGCCTCTCTGCCTCTCTGCCTCTCTGCCTCTCTCTGCCTCTCTGCCTCTCTCTCTCTCTGCCTCTCTGCCTCTCTCTGCCTCTCTGCCTCTCTGCCTCTCTCTCTCTCTGCCTCTCTCTGCCTCTCTGCCTCTCTCTGCCTCTCTCTGCCTCTCTCTGCCTCTCTCTGCCTCTCTCTGCCTCTCTGCCTCTCTCTGCCTCTCTCTGCCTCTCTCTGCCTCTCTCTGCCTCTCTCTGCCTCTCTCTCTCTCTCTCTCTCTCTCTCTCTCTCTCTCTCTGCCTCTCTCTGCCTCTCTCTGCCTCTCTCTGCCTCTCTCTGCCTCTGCTAGGATTAAAGCATGTGCCACCATGCCTGGCCATTTTTCCCAATGGTGTATCATTGCTGTATCATTCAGGCCAGTCTTGCTTCCATCCAGCATCCTCACAGATGGCATATTTAGAGTTTTTCTCTTCATCACCCTCTCTTTGGAGGAAGCCTCCTATCCCCCAACCCCACATGGTGAAAACGTCATTCTTGAATTTCCTTTTCAGCCCAACCCTTTTTCATACTGTTTCCCTCCGTGAATGTCTCTTCTATCGTGCCCTGATCACCAAATAGAACTATTTGTTCCCTTCCCTTCCTTCAGCCACTTTCGTTCTTGTAGTAACTATTCTTCCTAATTTTGTTTGTCCCTTTAGAACACCTGATGAGCAAAAGATGTCTTAGTCTTAAGTGGTATCTAAAACAAAACCTGGCTGGCCCAGCAGGTGAAAGCACGGGCCCCAGAGTTGTCCTCTGGCCTCCACACATGTGGTGTGGCACAAATATGACACCTGTTCTGCTGGTTTCATTGACACAAACTAGAGTCACCTGGGAAGAGGGAACCTCATCTGAGGAATTGTCTCCATCAGATTGAATTGTGGGAATATCTTTGTGGGAATTTTCTTGATTAGTGATTGATATGGAAGGGGCCAGCCTGCTGTGGGCAAGTGGTCTAAAAATGCAAGCTGAGCAAGCCATGGAAGCAAGCCAGGAAGCAGTGTGCCTCCAAAGTCTATGCTTCCATTCCTGGCTTGAGTTCCTGCCCCAATTCCTTCCGTGATGATATGTGACCTGGTAGTTGTAAGATGAAGCAAACCTTTCCTCCCCAAGGCGTTTTGGTCAGTGTTTTATCACAGCAAAAGAAAACCAACTTAGAATACCTACATGGAAGTATTAATTATCTACTTCTCCCTGCTACCAAAACCCCGCCTCGGTTCATTCAAGGTCACTAGGCCTGGGATCTGTCAGGCTAAGAGATGTCATATCTCCCCCTTCTTAATCCCCATTTGACTCACTGGTTCTGTTGACACTGGTCTCGTGGTTACAGGATTCTGATGGTCCACAAGTTGAGTATGAAGACTAATGGTAGTCTCTACTGCTTCTGTTGTTACTTCCTTTTCCAACCTGTTCTGACCTCGGTAGGATTGGGAAACAGTTATCATTTCTTCCATCTAAATCCCCACGGATGCTCTATTTAGGGTTTCCATCTTTTCCTTCAAGCAAGCCTCCTACCTCACCCCAACCCCACATGACTAAAATTTAAGGTCAGGGATTGTCTGAGCCCAGTGCTAGTATGGACTATGTATGTATTCCACTCCTTCGTGTGTTAATAAACCAGCCTACAAGCTTCTGGCTTCCTTCTCCCAGCTACAGTTAACAGGTCTGTTTGGGACCCATTTCCTAGTTTCTAGCTACCAGGTTTTATTTTCTTGTTTTCTTTTTTTCCTGGGACAGTCTTACTAAATAATCCTGGCTATGTAGACCAGGCTGACCTTCAACCCATGGCTGTCCTCCTGCTTCTGCCCCCCAAGTGCTGGGATTATTGGAATGGACTTCCATAGCCAACCCGTCTTCCCGTCTTCATTCTTGCTAATCAGTTACATTTCTGCACTTCCCAGTTTCTGTTTGACAGTTATTTATCCTGACCCTCTTAGAAAGGGAAGTCACTCACCAACCTGTCCTCTGACTCAAACATGGAATAATCAACAGTGAAGTTTGCACTAATGTCATCTGGAGAAGACAGAAAAAAAAAAAACAGAAGTAAAAGGGGAAGAAACTGCTCAGAATACTTCGTGCTTAGAATACTTTACTTTACCTAAGTTATAAACTGTGTTGGTACAACCTACTTCTAGTTATTTTTAGTGTTAAAAATGTTTATGAGTTGGAGCTGGCAAGATGGCTTAGCAGTTAAGAACATATATTTCTCTTTCAGAGGACCTGAGTTTAGTTTCTAGAATCTGTACTGAGCAGTTTTTGGTCTCTCAAAACTCCAGCTCCAGGGGGACTTGGCACCTCTGATCTCCATGGCAACTCCACTCATGTACAAGTACGCACCCCTCTATTATACGTAGTTTAAAATAATAATGAAAAGTAAATTTTTTTGTTTTGTTTTGTTTTTTGAGACAGGGTTTCTCTGTTTAACAGCCTTAGCTGTCCTGGAACTCGATCTGTAGACCAGGACAGAGATCTAACAGCACTTTGCCTCTCAAGCACTGGGATTAAAGGCATGCATTGTCACACCTGGTTTAATCTTTAAAAGAATGGTGAATATGTATAGATTTATATTGTCAATCTAGTGTCTAAAATAATTTACAAATTGGAAAATTTCCAAATTATCCTAAACATTTTCCAAAGAATAAAAATATAAGTTTAAGGGGCTGAAGAGGCAGCTTAGAGGTGAAGAGCACTGACTGCTCTTGCAGAGAACCTGGTTTCAGTTCCCAGCAACCACCTGTTGGCTCACAACCTCCTGAAACTCTGGTTACAAGGGATTCAATGCACTCTTCTGGCCTCTGTGGGCACCAGACATACTCATGGTGCACAGACACACATGCAGGCAAAATATTCATACACATAAAATACTTTTTAATTTTAAAAAAATCATAAGCTTGAGAAAAAAAACACCAAGAGTCTTGATAGGTTTTGCTCACAGCCAAAATTTTGTTTGATTGTCTTGTTCTGTTGCAAAGGGAAGGGCAGTCTCTGAATGAAGTATTACCCAAATCTCTTCCTACCCGACTAAGAGTCAGGGCCTTTCTCATACGCACCATAATTAGGGGTAACTGTGTAATAATAATATATCACTTGATAGTAATCTTCCAGATCTTCTCCTTCCTCGTATTCCTGTCCTGCAGGGACAAGAGCTGCAGGTCAAAAGCATCTGGAGCTCCTTAGCAACAGCACACATGGAGTTGATCCCAGATCTCCTAGTTTTCCTTTTTCCTCTCCAGAGGTCTCATCTCCCTGTCCCTGGTCCTCCAAACCCACCCAGTTCCCTAACTCCCAGCTGGCTCCTAGTTCTGCTTTCAGTGCGGAGCTCTCAGGACAGAAACCAGATCCTTTCACAAACTCTAAGCCCCAAAGGAGATGTAAACCCTTTATAAGTGGAAGACAGAGACCAGAAATTTAGAAACTCATATAGATTCCATATGCTCCCAAACTTTTTTATACTTGGGAGAGATCATATCAGCATCTCTCACACAAACACTAACAATCTCAGGCTTTTAGATTTGGGTTTACTTCCAGCTTCACTGCTAACTAAGCCGAAGTTTGAACAGTCCACACTTTTTGAACCCTACACTTTTTTTTTTTTTGGACAGGGGTTCTCTACATAGCCCTGGCTGTAGATCAGTGCAACCTGGAACTCACAGAGATCTGCCTCCCAAATGCCAGGATTAAAGGCGTGCACCGCCACATCCCTTCCTTAAAATAAGTCAGCTGGACCAAATGACCCATCATAGCTTTTCTTCCCTTCTGAAACTAAAAATGTGTGGCACTGATCCAGAATCCAGAATTCTAGGCCTTCTGCTAAACACATCCCACTAACCCCAAACTAAGGACACAGGACTTAAAGGAAAGGAAAACAATGAGACACACCTGGCAGACTGGAGAACAAAGAAGGGAAGGAGCCACACTACCCTTGGGATGCTGTCCCTAAAGGCAGCCAGTTTTCTACTGTCCTATAAGCCAATCCATATTTATGTCTTTCTTTTTTTTAAGTCAGGGGTTCAGTATGTATCCCTAACCAGCATAGAACTCCCAGAGATCCTCCTGTCTCTGCCTCTAGAATGCTGGAATTAAAGGCAGCCACGCCCAGCTTGGTTTTGTGTTTTGGCATAGGGGGTATTTGTTTGTTTGAGACAGGTTTTCTCTGGATATCCCTGGGTGTTCTGGAGCTTGTTTGAGAGAGCAGGCTTACCCTGAACTCAGAGATTTGCCTGCCTCTGCCTGAGTACTGGGGCTAAAGGTATGGGCCACCATGCCTGTCTGGAAATAGTCAGGAACTCACTGTGTAGTCGACCTTGAATTTTTGGTCCTTTCCCCTCTATGTTCCAAGAGCTGGGGCATGCGGAATCAAGCTTGGCTCTCACACCTATGTCTTTGCTAATAAGCCCCCCCCCCCCCGCCCCCGTTCTATTCTGTGGGAAGGAGCTGCTCTGGCGTCTCTCACTGGTTTCACTCCCTGGCTTCCAAGAGCCCACCTCCTTCCTTTATGTTCCTCACTCTTCTGTTCAGCTTTTGCGGTGACAGCAACAGGGATCTGAGTTCCGTCTTGCTGAAGGAGCTCTGTTTGGGACTCCATCCTCCATCAATCAGCCTTCTCTTCTCTGACAGGACTTCGCTTGGCTTTCCTTTTGCTTTTCCTGGCTCCACCTTCCAGATCTCTACTTTGCCCCCAACCCTGGACTCCAGCAGCTGAGAAAGCACCCTCATTCCCCGCCGACATGCCCACTTACCTTCTCTTTCTATCTTTTCTCTCATCCCGTTTATAAGAACTGGTACAAAAACTCGGGGTCAGAAGTGGACTTACCCAGGATAAGCGGCACAACAAGGAGGGCTGTAAAGAGGATATCCATTCTGAATTTGGCACTACGGCTGTGAAAGTAAAAAGAGGAAATTGCACTGTTTCCCACCACATTTACCCCGCCTCCCCCGCTGCTGTGAAGCTGGGAGGGAGCAGGGATTCTTCTCCCAGGGGATAGAACTCTCCGCCTACTTGCTCAGTAGATCTGTTACACAGCTGTGGGACTGAGGGGCAAGCCTGTCTGATGGATGCAAACATGTTACTCTTGGACAGCCCCTAGCCTAGATTAGGTCCAGTAGGGACTCCCACTACTGGGACCAAAGTTTATACTCTCTCCCTCTCTCCTTCTCTCCCTCCCTCCTTCCCTCCCAATCCTCATAAAACTTTTTTTTCTCTTGGTTTTTCTTTTTTTGGGGGTTTTTCGAGACAGGGTTTCTCTGTATTATTTTGGAGGTTGTCCTGGAACTCGCTCTGTAGATCAGGCTGGCCTCGAACTCACAGAGATCCGCCTGCCTCTGCCTCCCAAGTGCTGGGATTAAAGGCCTGCACCACCAACCCTGGCATCTTTTGGTTTTTCAAGACAGGGTTTCTCTGTAGCTTTGGAGGCTGTCGTCACCTCGAACTCACAGAGATCCTCCTGACTCTGTCGAGAGTGCTGGGATTGAAGGTGTGAGCCATCACCCTCCTGCTTGCAATCCTTAATTTGCTATTGCCATGCACAGTTGCTCTTTACTCATAATCTCTTTTATCGATGTGGGAAGGAGAGGAAGGGCTGAGGACTTTTTCTAGACAGTAAATAAACTGTGCCTCTTCTCTGCCTGTCTTGGTTGTGGAGGATGGACGTGATGTTTATGAACCATTGTTTGACTCCCAAATCTCCTTTTGTATTGCTGCGGATAAAAATCTCATAGCTGTCAGGTCCAAAGGAAGCTCCAAAAGGCAATTCACATATCCAGAAATGAGCTCATCCTGGACTATAGGAGTATTTCTGGAAGTTAGATAAAAAGCCAGCATTCCACAGGAACTTGTGAAGCTGGTTCCCATCTAACAAATGGAGTCATTTCCCTCCCCTGTGGCCGAAGGAATGCATGGCTGCTGGTGGCACCTATCAGCTTATCAAATGCTATGCTGGCCTCCGTGCTCCCTCAGTGTCACGAGAGCCTGTTGCACATTCCTAAGTCCCCACTCGCCTCCTAGCCTCCCTCTCTACTCTGCACTCCCTCCAGCTCAGGGCTCCCACCCTGCAGCCACTCCTCCTCCTTGTAACTCAGCTATTCTCACGGTGCTTGCTCTAGTCTCTACACCCACTATTCTTCCCTCTTCATGCACACAATCCTGGCCATGTCCAGGCTGCTTACCATGTCCACTTTACTTCTCTCTCTTCTCCGAACTCTTCCAGATGCCTCTGGCCGTTCTCTCTCTCTCAATAAAACCTTAACCACCCAATGGTGTGGCCAAGTTGGCAGTTTCTTTGCTGTACTCCCTTGCATGCAATGGCCAAAGCCAGTTACCTCTGTCCACTTAGTGTTGACCTCATCTCTATCTCCCAACCTTTTGGACCCAGGATGGAAGAAGAGAGGAATCGACCATCTTTTCCTCTGCTAGGTGCCATGCCTGCCTCCCACTTTCAGACACATGGCACCTTCCTGATCATTCTGTCTGCTCCGGTATTCAGTTCAATTCAGAAGCAATAGCATACTTATTAGGCACAATGAATTAAGTTTAGTCTGATAGGTGATTGAGACCTCAGGAAAAGACAAAAAAACAAAACAGTGCTAGGTGTGGCAGACCTCTGTGAGTCTGAGGCCAGACTAGTCTACAGAGTGACTTCTAGGACATCCAGGGATGCATACAGACTAGTCTACAGAGTGACTTCTAGGACATCCAGGGATGCATACAGACTAGTCTACAGAGTGACTTCTAGGACATCCAGGGATGCATACAGAAATCCTGTTGCAATAAACCAAAACCAAACAAAACTAACCCAAATAAACAAACAAACAAAAAAAAAACACATACATACGCACACCAAAACAAAGCAAATAAAGATTAGAAGAAATCAGATGACATATGACTACAAAAATGATCCGACAATTATTCACCTACATTTTGACATAAATCTGTGAACTTTGTTAATTTTCTAAAACAAGATATAAAGCAAATACAGTATATTTAAAGTATATTAAGTATATTTAAAATCCCATATACAATGGGCTTGGTGATGCATGCCTCTAATCCCAGCACTTGGGAGGCTGAGGCAGTTAGATCTCTGTGAGTTCGAGGACAGCCTGGTCTACAAAGCGAGTTCCAAGACAGGCTCCAAAGCTACACATAGAAACCCTGCCCAAAACAAATCACTTCCAGGAAGCCTGGTTTTCTTCAAACAGTTTCTGTAGTTTGTTGTTGCTTTGATCACAATATCAAAAACAGTTTTCAGATGTGGTCCCATTGTAGGATTCCTTTGCTTAGGCGTGCCCTAAGGACCAATCTGTCCTCATACAAATGATGGTTCGTTTTAATATGAAAAGCCCCTCCCCGTCTCAAGGAAAAGACACCACTCAAGTTTATTTTCAGAATATAAATAGAGGAAGTATGACATCAAAGGAACTAAGCAGCTGGGGGGTGCGGGGAGTGTCATTTCCTCTCCTTCCCGTTGCTCTTGATGCTTTTTGATTCCTGGATTCTTTCTAACATTTCTCTCCTGGCTCCTCTTGCTTCTGTCATTACAGAATACAGTCTTCATTTGAGCAGACTGTACTACATAATTCCTATATGAGACTGCTCAAAGAGCTCCAATTTTTCTCAATATATGTTTTTATTTAAATTAGAAACATGAATGCTTCACATGTCAATTCCAGCTCCCTCTCCCATCCCTCCTCCCTTTTCCCTCCACCAGCCCCTCCACCCAATCCCTATATCATTCTCCAGGGAGGGTGAGGCCCTCCTTGGGGGGATCTCCAGAGTCTGTCATTTCATCCATGGCAGGACCTAGGCCCTTCCCCATGTGTCCAGGCTGAGAGAGCATCCCTCTATGTGGAATGGGCTCCCAAAGTTCATTCATACACCATGGTAAACACTGATATACTACCCAAGGCCCCAGAGATTTCTGAGGCCTCCTCACTGACACTACATTCCTGGAGTCTGGATTAGTTCCCTGTTGGCCTCTTAGCCATCAGTCTGGAGCTCAAGATCTCCCCTCATCCAGTCAGCTGTCTTTGTGGGTTCCACCAGCATGGTCTTGACCCCTTTGCTCATCACTCCTCCCTCTCTGTCACTAAGTTCCAGGAGTTCAGTTCAGTGTTTAGCTGTGGATATCTTTCTCTGCTTCCATAAGTCACTGGATGAAGGTTCTAGGATGGCATATAAGGTAGTCATCAACCTTATCATCAAGGAGGGGCTATTAATGTAGTCTCTCCACTACAGCTTAGGTTGCCAGTTAGTGTTATCCTTGTAGATCTCTGGAGATCTCACTAGTGTCAGCTCTCTCCTAAAAACCTATATGGTATCTCTCATCGTGCTCTCCTCTATTCTTACCTCGACTCAACCTTCCTGCTCCCCCATGCCTTCTTCTCCCCTCCTCTTATCTACCTCTCTCTTTCACGGTTCCCTGTCCCCTCCCACAATGTTCCCAATCTGCTCAGGAGATCTTGGCTCATTCCACTTCTCTGGGATATCATGCATATCTCTCCCTATTCCCCAGACTCACTGGCACTGGGATTGTAGGCTGACATTCCCCTGATCCATATCTAAAATCCATATATGAGTGAGCACATACCATGTTTGTCTTTTTGTGACTGGGTTACCTCACTCAGGATGGTTTCTTCTAGCACCATCCATTTGCCTGCAAATTTCAAGATTCCATTGTTTTTTTTTTCCACTGAGTAGTACTCCATTGTGTAAATGTACCACAGTTTCTCTATCCACTCTTCAGTTGTGGGGCATCTAGGTTGCTTCCAGGATCTAGCTATTACAAATAATGCTTCTATGAACATAGTGGAACAGACATCCTTGTTGTGTGAATGGGCATCTTTTGGGTATATGCCTAAGAGTGGAATTGCTGGGTCTTGTGGTAGACTGAGTCCCATTTTCCTGAGGAATCTCCATACTAATTTCCAAAGTGCACTCCCACCAGCAATGGACGAGTGTTCCCCTTTCTTCACATCCTCTCCAGCATAAGCTGTCATTGGTGTTTTTTTTTTTTAAGATTTATTTATTACATATACAGTGTTCTGTCAGAAGAGGGCACCAGATTGAATTGTAGATGGCTGTGAGCCACCATGTGGTTGCTGGGAATTGAACTCCGGTCCTCTGGAAGAGCAGTCAGTGCTCTTAACCTCTGCGCCATCTCTCCAGCCCGTCATTGGTGTTTTTGATTTTAGCCTTTCTGACAGAGTAAGATGATATCTCAGAGTTGTTTTGATTTGCATTTCCCTAATGGCTAAGGATGTTGAGCACTTTCTTAAGTGTCTCTCAGCCATTTTATACTCTTTTACTGAGAATTCTCTATTCAGTTCATTCCCCCACTTTTTAATTGGATCTTTTGGTGTTTTGGTGACTTGCTTCCTGAGTTCTTTGTAAATTTTGGAGATCAGCCCTCTATCAGATGTGGGGTTAGTGAATATCTTTTCCCAATCTGTGGGGTGCCTTTTTGTCTTGCTGACTGTGTCCTTTGCCTTACAGAAGCTTCTCAGTTTCAGGAGGTCCCATTTATTAATTGTCAATCTCAGTGTCTGTGCTACTGGTGTTATGTTCAGGAAGCAGTCTCCTGTACCAATTTGTTCAAGGGTACCTCCCACTTTCTCTTCTAACAGGTTCAGTGTGGCTGGATTTATATTGAGGTCTTTGATCCATTTAGACTTAAGTTTTGTGCATGGCCATAGACATGGATCTATCTGCATGTCTGCATGTCTTCTACATGCCAATATCCAGTTATGCCAGCACCATTTGTTGAAGATGCTATCTTTTTTCCATTGTATAATTTTGCTTCTTTGTCGAAAATCAGGTGTTCATAGGTTTGTGGATTAATCTCAGGGTTTTCAATTCGATTCCATTGGTCTACCTGTCTATCAGGACTATAGCTCTATAATAGGAGCTCCAGTTTGTTGTTGTTGTTGTTTTTGTTTTTTTTGAGACAGGGTTTCTCTGTATTGTTTTGGAGGCTGTCCTGGAACTTGCTCCGTAAACCAGGCTGGCCTGGAACTCGCAGAGATCCGCCTGCCTCTGACTCCCGAGTCCTAGGATTAAAGGTGTGCGCCACCAAAGCCCGGCAGGAGCTCCAATTTTTAAGCCCAATCTTGATCCCTTAGGGTGCTTTTCAGGGTCATTTCCTTTAATTCAAGTAAGAACAATGCCAGTCCCTGTCCTCCTACAATCCCTATCCTGGGCTCTTCAAAACGGATCTTTGCCCGCCATATCTCTTCTAGCAACAAGTAGGGTTGTTATCACCCTTCCACAGTAATGAATAGAAACCGTAGCCAAGGCACAAGCCAACCCAGGAATCCTTGCCATGATTGGGCCCAGTCCCGACCCACTCTTCTGGAGCCACGCCCAGCACCAAGTGGAGGGCTTGGAGGACTGAGACTACAACTCCCAGAAGGCCGTGCTGCCGTGACCCCGCCCCTGCAGTTCCGCTCCATCAAGTATTCATTGGCCTTCCGGGGGTGGGGATTAGATGGGAGGTGGCCATGGGGCAGCGACCGGGGGTTGTTCCCTCTTCGGCTTCCGTAGACGAGGTCGGGCGGACCTTCGTCCGGGGTTTTGGTGCCCCCCTTCCCCTTCCCCGGGGTCCGGGGGTGACATTGCACCGCGCCCCTCCTGGGGTTGCGTCGCCGCCCCACGCAGACACCCCCCCGGTGCGCTGCTCCCGTTCGCCTCCCTTGGCCGGGGCTCCCTCCCGCCCCCAGCTGCCCAGTCATGGGGGCTGCTGTGTTTTTCGGATGCACCTTCGTCGCGTTCGGCCCAGCCTTCGCGCTTTTCCTGATCACTGTGGCAGGAGACCCGCTTCGGGTTATCATCCTGGTCGCGGGGTGAGTAGCGAATGGTGGAGACGGGTCCAATCGTAGAGAAAATGATGCGGAAAGGACTGGAGGAACTGGGGTGAGCTTGGGAGCCTGAGTTGGGGAACAGAAGTAGGAAAAGGTTGGACAGGGTCAAATCTTGGTCTAGGCGGTTTTCCGCAGTCGGCTTCCGCCTTCCAGGGATTTCACAGATTACTCCCGTAGTCCTCCCGGCAACGTCAGAGAAGGCCCCAGGCCGAGACCAGCGAGGGGCTGTGCTGACCTCGGCCAGCCCGTCCGTCCGTGCCCGCACACTTTGACTCTCACCTCACTGAAGACTCTAACCAGGTTTCTTCCCCTTCTGCAGCTTGCAGATTCCTACAGATGAGTCTGTTGGTGAAGACACTTATCCTATGTGGTCCCTGTCTTCCTGACCATCCGGAAGTCTAACTTCCACTTTTCATGCTGCAGCCTTGGCTGGTGCTCTCCTTGATTTTTCTGGCTGCCCCTATCCTTGCCTCTCTCATTGTCGTTGTGTTTTCTCAGAGCCTTTTTCTGGCTGGTCTCCCTGCTCTTGGCCTCTGTGGTCTGGTTCATCTTGGTCCATGTGACAGATCGATCAGATGCCCGGCTCCAGTATGGTCTCCTGATTTTTGGTGCTGCTGTTTCTGTCCTTCTACAGGAAGTGTTCCGATTTGCCTACTACAAGCTCCTTAAGTAAGGACAAAGGGTGGTCTGGAAGGGGGAGGGGACAGTGGTGTGCCTTGTGGGAAGTGGGCCAGCCCTTGGATGGTGGTTGGAATAAGGGTCATTAAAGGTAAAGGAACATCTCTGCCCTCCCTACTATTTCCTCTCTTTTATCCCAGGAAGGCAGATGAGGGTTTAGCATCACTGAGTGAGGACGGAAGATCACCCATCTCCATCCGACAGATGGCCTATGGTGAGCCAAGGGAGAGGGGCCGGAGGAGGGAGTTGGACACCCCCTCCTCCCTTTCAGGGTAATCTAAACATCCACATGTGCTAAGTATTTTTCTTCATACTTGACATCCGAGGAGAGGCGGTCTGGAGGGAGAGTAGGTATGGTAGAATTTTCGCTGGGTGTGGGGAAGAGGTACTGGTCATGGTGCTGTGGTGATCTTGGACGTTGATGAAAGCCTCCCCCCCCAGTTTCTGGTCTGTCCTTCGGTATCATCAGTGGTGTCTTCTCTGTTATCAATATTTTGGCCGATGCACTTGGGCCAGGTGTGGTTGGGATCCATGGAGACTCGCCCTATTACTTCCTGACTTCAGGTAAGGCTTGCTTCTAGTCTGGCCTTTATGCCCTTTCCATCCCTGACCCCCATCTGACTTATTGCCCTTCCCTGGGAGACTCCTCTGGCTCAGCATCTCAGGAGGCTGGAAGGAGGTCAGGGATGCATCTCCTCCCCATCTCCCTCCCTGCAGCCTTTCTGACCGCAGCCATTATCCTGCTCCATACCTTTTGGGGAGTTGTGTTCTTTGATGCCTGTGAGAGGAGACGGTACTGGGCTTTGGGCCTGGTAGTTGGGAGTCACCTACTGACATCAGGACTGGTGAGTTGGAGATAGGGGCCTGAGTCAGGGAGAAAGCATTTCATGGTGAGTGGGCTGGGGTGTGTGTTCCCACTTAACTTACCTTGGGTGGAGGCAGAGAGGTGAGTCTCTGAGGCTGTCACCTCAGCCTTAGTTAGACCACTTGCTATAGGGAGGAGTCTCACTTTGCTTGGTCACACAGATTCGGAAGGCCTGAGGTGAATAGGAGGAGCTGAAGCCTTTGAGGGAATCTAAAGTCAGAAGTTCCCTTAGCTACAGGCTGTTGGTGCTTCCAAGGGAAGCATCAGAGTCTGAATAGGATGTCTGGCGGAGGTTCGCTCAGAAGTACGAAGTGAATGTTGGGGTTAGGTGGGGAAGAATCTAACCTCTTTTCCGTCCTCATTCTCAGACATTCCTGAACCCCTGGTATGAGGCCAGCCTGCTCCCCATCTATGCAGTCACTGTGTCCATGGGGCTTTGGGCATTCATCACGGCCGGAGGCTCCCTCCGAAGTATCCAGCGCAGCCTTTCGTGTAAGGACTGACTACCTGGACTGCTCGCCCGACAGATCCCATCTGCCTGTCCACTGCCCATGACTGAACCCAGCCCCAGCCCGGGTCCATTGCCCACCTCCTCCGTCTCCTCGCTGATGTGTCCCGCTACCTTCCGGGTGTGGCGTTGTCCATTTGTGACCTGTAGTCTCTAAGCTTTATCAGGAGCAGCCTGGGTGCAACCCAACAGGGACTGGTGGGTTTGAATCTGCGTTTCTCCCCACCACTGGGGAGCCCCTTGTCCAGGTCTCCCCGTGTGTCAGTGCTCTGGTCTCGCCCTGCCCATGACTCACCCCGCTTCCCCTCTGCAGGCCGACGGCAGGAGGACAGTCGGGTGATGGTGTACTCTGCCCTGCGCATCCCACCCGAGGACTGAGGGAACACGGGGGGGAACCCCGGGCCTGGGGTGCCCTCCCGATCTCCTCGTCCTGTGTTTCTCCATCTCCAGTTCTGGACAGTGCAGGTTGCCAAGAAAAGGGACCTAGGTTAGCCATGGCCCTGGTGATGACGTTACTGGAGGCTCAAGGGTAGATGAGTTCAGTTTTCCAGTGTCTCCTGCCCAGACTGGACATCATGGTCTTTTTCTCAGGTCTGAAAGGAACCATTTTTGGTATGATAAAGACCCCAGAAATGCCTTTTTTTTTAAGTGGGGGGAGGGAGGAGGTATATTGGGAGCCTCCTAACCTCCTTGGGCTGTATTTTTGCTCCTGAAACTGCGGATCACGGCTCATTTCTATCCTTTTTCCCCTTGGTCCCAGGCCCTGGGGAAAAGGAAGGAAGTGCACGTGTGGGAACTGGTGCCACTGGAACTTAGTTTTAACGTCCGTGACCACCGGCACCTCCTCTCCCCAGGGTGCAGTGGAGGGCGTTGTGGGGGTTGGCCCACTCCATGGCAGTGTCCCTGGAGGAGTCAGACTACCATGGCGTTGCAGGCCAAGAGGACAGACATTTTCTAGTTTTTAATTGGGGTGTGGGAGGGCTGGGGAGGTTTTCTATTACTGTATCATTTTTCTGCTGAGGTTGGGATGTCCCATCCTTTTAATCAAGGTGATTGTGATTTTGACTAATAAAAAGGACTTTATAATTGTGGGGGAACTTGGCTTTTAAGAGAGGGGATAATGGATTGAGATTTCTAGCCCCTTGTGGCTCTGGTCCCTCCTCCTACCTAGCCTGGCAACCAATGTTCACCATTGATAGCTTTGGTGTAAGGATGGAAGCTTGGTTGGTGGTTTAGCTTGAGGAAACTGAGTTAACTTTTCTCAGAAGTAGATTCCTCCTTGTCCAGAAATAGGATACAAGGTTTTAATCACCCAGTTTTCTTTTTCTCTGTGTCTGTCTCTACCACTCAGAGGACAGTAGAACTCTCCCATCCTTGAAAGCTCAAAAGACAGGCCAGAATTAAGGTCAGAAACTCGAATTTTCAAACATATATTGAGCAAAAAAAAAAAAAAAAAAAAAAAAGACTAAAATTCCAGCAGCAGCTCTTTTTCCTAGAGGAAAAATATCACAACATGTATCTAGGTGTACCTAGGGAAGGCAGAGAAGGTGAGGGGTTTCAGGGCATGTCCTCAGCTTCTTCACAGCTAAACATTAAAGCAGGGGCCTCCTGACCTGCATGATTTGAAAGGCCAAAGACTCCACTCATCCTTAAACTGGGTCCTTGCTTCTCTGGTGTATGAGAGGGGAGATGGTGTCTAGAAGGACATATCTCTGCCTGCTACTGGTAGTCTAGTCCCTGCACCCCTTCAAGAGACCCCGTAGCAGGTGTGAGGGAAGGCATCCATGTCTTCTTGAGACAGAGTTTAAGCCTCTGTGGTAGCCCGTGCTGAAGTGAAGACCACACTCTTCCTGTTTCCTAGCCTCTTCTTCCTGGAAGGGAAGCAATGGTTCATGGGAGTGACTATAGTGTCCTAAGTGAAGACTTAAATTTTCTCCACCTCCTGAGTATTGGGATTACAGGTGTATGCCAGCATGTCAGGTTTAATGTGGCGCTAGGGATCAAAACTAAGGTTTTGTGCATGCTAGGCAAGCACTTCACAAACTGAGCTATAGCCCCAGCTCTGGCTGTCTAGGAACTCACTATGTAGACCAGGCTGGCCTTGAACTCACAGACATCTTCCTGCTTCTGCCTCCCACATGTTAGGATTAAAGGTATGTACCACCATGCCAGGTTGAGAATGCATTTTTCTGTTTGTTTGTTTGTTTTTTTCAAACAGAGTTTCTCTGTGTAACTTTGGCTTTCCTAGAACTCACTCTGTAGACCAAGCTGACTTTAAAGTCAGATATCCTCCTGCCTCTGCCTCTGCCTCTGCCACTGCCTCTGCCTCTGCCTCTGCCTCCCAAATGCTGGGATTAAAGATGGGCACCACCACTGCCCAGCCTCTGAGAATACTTGTTAATAGAAAATAAACTACTGTAGGGATAGAAAGTAGGATCTCACCTAATTTTTCGAGCAATGAAATAGCCAGCCAGCAGAAGGCAGAGACATCCAGCCAGGATTCCCACACCTAGACCCAGCATCTCTCCTAGGGGAGACAAAGATGTCAGTCCAGTAAAGTTATTAGCACAGTCTAACAGGTACTGAGCCTTCCCATTTTTGCTGGGACCCACACCCCCTCACATTTCCATATGGGGCTGTCTTACCTGTGGTATACAGGGTTCCCACTGTGGAGGAAGAACACTTGGGTTAGGGGAGTTTCAGAACATCTTCCCATTTGGAAGTTCTTGCTTCCACACCTGGAAGGTGACCTGGCATCCTGACTAGGAGTGGCTCCCAGTCCTGTGTGTGGGCCTCCTCCCTTGTCCTTTTCATGCCAGGGCTTGACTATTTCATGCCTCTGAGTTCCTCAGTCTCCCATCTCTTCCCAGCCCTGCACATCACCTTGGATGAAAGAAGCATAGATGGCCCGCTGGTTGAGAGGCTGGGGGACTCTGTAGTTTTGTACAAGGGGCTCAGGTGGCTCCTCCTCTGTAGAGAACAGCGTCTCCTGGAGCTTTTCTAACTGAGGAGCAGGGTGTAGACGTCACTCTGGAGCCTGGGCAAGGGTCTGCTGTTAAAGCAGTTCTTTGTCCACCACTCACCTGTCCCATTGAAATCTGGGCCTTCCTGTTGAAGACTGTCCAGAGTACACTCTGGTAGCAGGGGGGAGTTGTGAGTGATCCATTGTAACGGAAGTACTGGTCCAGCCGTTGGGGGAACAGCCCTCTCACACTGAAGGGAGGCACTGAGGTCCTCTGATCTAGGGAGAACAGCAAGCATCGACCTTCCTGGACACGACTCCTCTAGGCAGAATGCACTGCCAACTCTGCCTCCTCCCCAAGCCTCTTAGGTTGTGAAAGTTTCTCTGCAGTTGAACTCTTTAGACAAGGTTTCTCTGTGTTACAGCAGTCCTGGCTGGCCTGGAACTCACAGAGATCCGCCTGCCTCTGCCTCCCAAGTGCTGGGATTTCAGGCGTGTGCCACCTCCAGGCTGCAGTTGAATTCTTACTGTAGGCTTTTAGGGCTCACCTTTATGTCTTATTTCATGCAGATGACTCAGAATGTGATCATAAGCTGGATTCTCAGCCTCGCCCACCTGTGAAGGAAGTGTATGGTAGAAGCCCGTGTTTGGAGTGAGAGTGCATGGGGGTAAATGTCGCAGAGAGGCTGGCAACAGAGCAGGCTTGGGGATGTCAATAGGAGGTGGAGAGAGAGAGACCTGAGGAGGAGAGCTTACTGACCTCGATTAAGATGCCTAGGACAGCCAGACCTAGAGGCTTCTGAGCGGCCTCACTCAGGCTGCCGTAGGACGAGTCATAATGGACCACGTGGAGCTGAGGCAAGGGGAAGGAACCGGGTTACTTCATGTGTCTTCTTTCCAGGGCTTAGACCTTTGTCACCCCCTCAGTTCCACAATCTAAGTGTCTGCCCCCAAAGCTTGGCCTTGTCCCTTCAGTACGACTTTTCAAGGGTACAGGTCCATCCTTTCTACAAGATCAACTTAACTACACCCTTGGCATCCTCTGCCCTGGCCGGTACCTCTGCAGCAGTGGCTTCGCTGTTGATCTGGTGCTCGGAGCCCTCTTGGGATCCTTTCTGACCCCAGTGCAGGTGGAGCTGGGCTGCTGTGTATTTTCGGGGCAGCCCACCCAGGTGCAGGGTATGGGGCAGGGAGAGCTGCACTGTGAGGAAGGAACAAGGTAGGATTGGAAGAGGCGGCATGTGGGCCGTTCCCACCCCAACTTGCCACTACCTGGGACACTGGCTTTCCTCTTCCCTCTCCCTCCCAGAATTGCCTGGCTTCTCTCAGGCTGTGGCTTCTAGCAAAGAGGCCTCTCTGCTGATGATACTAATCTATACATTGAACTTCATCATAGACATTCAACCCAACTTTAGCTGCAAGAACTGAATCTCTCTTTTCCTCCCTCTCTTCCTCTCTCTCTCTTTTTCCAGGGTTTTTCTGTATTGCTTTGGAGCCTGTCCTAGAACTCTCTCTGTAGACCAGTGTAGACGAGGCTGGCCTCAAACTCAGAGATTCGCCTGCCTCTGCCTTTGTCTCCCCCGTGCTGGGATTGCAGAACTGTACCACCATCAGCCTCTGAACTTCATTTGTCCACATTCATTAGTGGAGTATTCTGAGGTTTTACAAGTTAGAGGAGTCTGTTCCCTTTGGCTCTGTAAAGTCTGAGCTAGAACCTGCAGTTACTTGGAGTAGAGTCTTTTACCTGTATGGCCATTATTGTGTAGATCCAAAGGCTCAGTACCAGGCTGCTCATATCCATGGGGCTGCACAGCAGGCAGATCGGGATCAAATATCACACTGTCCGTCTGAATGTCGATGGGGGACTGGGCGTTGCCTCCACACTCAGGGTAAGAGGTTGGCCAGTGATCCTGACCATGTGGGCCTGGCGGAGGGTAAGTTAACATGGACGTTTGTCCAGCCCCATAGCCCCTTCAGTACTCCCTGCCAGGGTATAGTGGAAGTGGAAACCCACTTCTCGCCACCCAGTGGGGTAGGACTGAACGAGGTGGGAGACTCTAGGCTGTGGCACCACATCTCCCCAGAAGCAGGGGTGATTCTCCAGCTACCCTAGTCAGTGGGGGAGTGGTCGCTTTCACTGACCTGCAGTTTGAAAACAATGAAGCTGAATGAGGGGGAAGAGGAAATACAGAGAAAGCCTGAGTACTTGTTGAGGTAGAGTCAGAGGGGGACAACTGGCTCTAAACAGATGAAGTATCTCTGGGGCTCCCTACCAAGTAGTCTTGGGGTTCAGATATCCTTTCTGTCATCCACTTGTCACTCTCACACTGGCCCTTGCTTTGACTCCAGATAGGTCACTAATCAGAAGTTCAGAGGGATTGAGTTCCACTGTCCCTAGAGTCATAGTATCCTGCCAGCCTCTTCCTCCAGAGCTCAGGCTGTCCAGTTTTCCAGTTTCAGAGACAGGTTGGGGACAGGACTGCTGGGGGAGGCGCATTGCGCCTCTCGCCACCCAGTTTCCTCCATTTCCACACGGATTTACGAAGGATTCATTGGCTTTTCTGCTGAATCAGCAGATGTGGGATTTAATGATTAGAGCAAGGTCTAGCGGCCACATGGGTCTGGTGTCATGCAGAAGCGGGGGGGGCTAGTGTGTGAAGGTCAAGAAAAGCTCTTTCTCCTCCCCACGACAAGTCTTCGCGTCAAGTGGGGGGGTTCCCCAGGGTGACAGGAGTGCTAGTCGGCCTGGAGGTCCGTTCTCACCTTCATATGTCCAGTGGTGACCTGTAAGAGAGTGATCTGGGCTGAAGCCGGTGAGCGAGCACAGCCTGGAGCAGTATCCTGGCCTCTGCTCTCCTCTCCCTCCAGTGCCCCCCCTCCTTTTCCGCGCGCGCGCTCTCTCCAGCACTTCCCAAGTGAAGTCCTGAAACTGGACACCTTGGTGGAAAGGTCGGGGGTCCTATTTAAAATAACTAGGCAGGCTGTGTGCCCTTGGTTAATGAGTAAAGAGGGAGGAGCAATGCGAAGAGATAAAGTCAGGAGACTAAAATTAACCTGGAGACCAAGTGTGCAGGCGGCCCAACCCTTACTTTTCTCCAGCTGGAACCAAGTCCGTGGAACCCCTGGAAGATTGGGGTGGGGTAGGGTGAGTGTGGGGGCGGAGGACTCGGAAGGATAGCGAACAAAAGAGGACGGGAAACCTTCAGCTTGTGACGGTGCCGATCGACGGGAGGGGCTAGAAGCCCGTTGCCTTGATGCACCATTGCACGGTGAAGGCACAGAACTTTCGACAACAATTTGGATTCTTCCTTTCTGCACTTACTAGCTCTACAGGGACCTTGCCCATCATCGTGAACCTCGGCTCCTACACTTCCACATGGCTCAAGGAAGGCAGGAGTCAGGCTAGGGTCTGTTCTAGGTTGCGGGTGGTGGGTGGGCACAGGCAGCCAGGCTGGCAAGGACAGGATGAAAGTGCAGCATTGTGTGCAGGGAGCAGAGCTGCCAGCCCCGTCACATGCCAGCTCCCATGCAGCTCCATCTCTGGCCAGAATGCTGGGGGTCTGTGGATCTAACTACCCCCAGGGCTAACCTGCTCTGAGGAGAAAAGGAAGTCTAATTGTAGATTGACTTGTACTGTTTAAATCTAGGGAAAAAAAATCCTAAATTCCTTTTCATCTTTATTACTCCTTTATTTATTTTGTTTGTTTGAGACAAGGTTTTGCTGTGTGGTCCAGACTGGCCCAGTGTTGACTATGTGGTTCAGGCTGACCTCAAAAACTTGTGGCAGTCCTGCCTCAGCCTCCTGAGTGCTAGGACAAAGCATGTGGTACAATGCCCAGCTTCTCTGTTCTTCCTTTAACTGCTCAGACTTGTAAGATGTTTTGGCTCTCATCCTTGGTCTGTCCAGCAGGCCCATTCCCCAGCTCAAACGACTCTGCAAAATAGCTCAAGTGCAGGACGTGGTGGCCTTCCCCTTTAGTCCCCCTTCAGTCCCCACACTCACAGGAGACAGAGGCAGGTGGATCTTCCAGGACAGCCAGGGCTACACTGAACCCTGTTTTGAAAAACCAGAAACAAACCCACAAAAGGCCAGAGTGGGGTTAGAGGCATCCACTCAGGACTGCCTGCAGGGTACCACAACAGCTGAGTGCCAGACTGTGAAGATGCTTGTCCTCCCTGTTAAATGCTCTGGGCGATCCGTACCTATGTTTCCTCTTTCTGTTTTTCTTCACAGAAGAGATTTTGACTCCGTTTTCGTTTGGTTCCCTTGGTCCCATCTGCCTCCCGCCCTCTTGCTCGCTCTCAGGACACTCCTCTCCCGCTTAGTTCCTCCAACAGACCACAATCCCTAACCTACTATGTGCTGGGTGCGCAGTGAGGCCTGTGAAGCACAAAGCGGGTGTAGAAGCCAGGCCCAGCTGCAGCTGGAAGGCAGGAGCCAGAGTCTAACTCAGCGGCAGTGAGTGGGAGACCTTGTCTCAAACACCAAACCAACGATAAAGCAGAGGGAAGGGAATCCCTGAGGTGCTCCTGGAGTGTTCCCAATAGCCTCTCTCCCACTCCTAGAATACACTGTAAATGGCTAGGGACTAAGTCTACCATTGTGCTGCTTTCGGGGAAATGGACCAGTTGGTTAGTTTCGCTACACCTTGGCAGGTAGTGGGATTATCATTGATGAGGTGGGACTCAGGGTCTGAGCTGTTCCCTTCCCGCCCCTGCTCTCCGTAGCCAGCGCAGAGGGAGAGAACGTGGACAAAGGGCAGGACTCCCTGGGACTGGGGCGGTAGGGAAGGAGCTGCTCAGAGAGAGCTGAAGCTGGCTGGGTTTCCACACATGTGAGCATTCATACACTGGCCCCAGCTAGCTCTCCCCTGCTACAGCGATAGCAGCACAAGCTGGGCTAGAGAGGGAAAGGCAGAGAATGGAAGGGATCTCCTCCTTACAGCCCCCCTCCCGCCTTTTCCCCAGCCCCCAGGCGTCCCTTTACACCTCCTCCCCCACGTAAGTACACATGGCGTGGACATTAGCACAGACCCAGTTTACCTACCCCCATCTGCAGCCAGGATCCAAGTCACCTTTAACAGGAGAGCGAGGAACAACATACTATCTCCACAGTGGTGCACAAGGGACCAGGAATTTGGGAGCTAGGAGAGAGAGGAGTTTCTGGTGTTAAGCTCTTTTCTTCTCTCTGCAGGCTTTTCAGGAATTTGATTTTCCTCAGGTTAGAACAAACTATTGGATCGATCTCTCTCTCTCTCTCTCTCTCTCTCTCTCTCTCTCTCTCTCTCTCTCTCTCTCTCTCTCTCTCTCTCTCTCTCTCTCTCTCTCTCTCTCTCTCTCTCTCTCTCTCTCTCTCTCTCTCTCTCTCTCTCTCTCTCTCTCTCTCTCTCTCTCTCTCTCTCTCTGTCCTCTCTGTATTGTATGTCCCTCCGTAGTCTCTACACTACTTACTGGCCAGCAACTTCACAGTTGCCTCCCGCTTTTAAGGTGGCTCTGAACCGGTGTACGTGAGGAGGGGGGTGGTGCCTGGGCTGCAAGCGAGCAGCTCCTTAAATAGCGGATTAGGCATGCAGGATGGCCCTGCGGAGCCCAGCGCCCTGGCCGTGGCTCAGAAGCCCAGCTGGAGAGAGCTCTTCCTTTGCCGTTTGCTCTGCCGCTGAGATGGGTGTCCCCTGGAACTCTCGGGCAGGGAAGGGGGGTTCACACCTCTCTCCAGGACACTGTGTTCCCGCTTGCCGCCTGAGGAGCACATACCCGGGTGGTGTGAGACAGCTGGTGGAGAACCTGTTTCCAAACTCAAGAGGAGTTGAGCTAGTTGGGACCAGAAAGAATCCAGACTTGGGTGGTAGGACAGAATTTGGGGACTCGAGGCGTAGTTGAGGAGTGGGAAGTCAAAGTTTAAAGTTTGGATTGTGGAGATCGAGAAGTGGGGCGAGGAGAAATTGTCTTTCGGGCTGTCTTTCCCTGGTGCCTGTCACCACCCCCTTCCCTTGGTGAGGCTTAGGTCCACGTGCCTGTGTAGCCTGGGGTGGGGGTGCGGTTTTGTTTGCCGTATAAAGCCCATTTGTGTGCACAGCGGGGGAGGGGTTGTCACAGCACCAGGGAGAGACAGCATTCTAACTACTAGATCCAGCCACCTCCCTCCCCGGGGAGCCCAGATCTAGGGCGCCTTTTGTCACTGAAGAGGACACTGACCCCTAGCAGAGAGGCCCGGGCAGGAGGGGCGATGGGTGACTGTGGAAACAATTACTGTCACCATGAGAAAAAGGCGGACTCCTGAGAAAGGGAGGGGAGGAGCCAGGAGGCCATGTGACTGGGGGGGGGTGAGGAGTCCAGGGGCTTCCCGCCCACCCAACAAAGGGTCGCAGCAGGTCCAATGGGACCGAGTGAAACCTGCCACCGTGGAGTTAGCCAGTGGAGCACGGAGGCTGCAAGGCGTCTCAGGAATGTGAGCTGTTGTGCGCTCCCCCACGGGACTAGAAATCCCGATCGGAATGTACATCCTAAGTTCCTCATTAGTGAGTGTGAAAACCACAGATAATTTCAAGCTAGAAGGTGAAGATTCTTTCTCCTCCATACCCTTCACTCACTAGCCTAGGGCATGCACGTACGTGAGGTCTTTCTGCCCTCCTTGCTCCTAACAATAAATAGCCAAAACAAAGGGAGCAGAAGCCAAACAAGGGCACAGGATAAAAGCCAAATGAACAGAATAATGCTTGCTGGGTCATCACTTCTGCGGAGACAGAGCTCCGAGCGCTTTTCTGTCCCGTGATGGAGATTCAGAGCAAGGCTGGGTTTTCTTTTTCTTTTTCTTTTCTTTCTTTTAATGTAATTCTTTATGTTTTTATCACTGCGAATTCTTCATTCTCTACTGAAAAGTTTCCGTCTTCAAGTCCCTCCAAAGGTCCATTCATCCCATCTAGGAAGAATGAACGATGTAAAATGTAGTTAAGACGTCTTTGGAATGGGGGAGGTAATAGGAGGTGGGGTGCGGGAGGAGAACAGGACATATTTCACAAGTTAGAAGAGAAGAGGTTGGGACGGAATGACCCGGGTCAGGTCAGAGCTCTCCAGGAGCATCTGCGACCGAGATTCAGCGTCCCATGCAGGAAGTGCGTCTCGCCTGGCGCCACCTCCTGGCTTCTCCATGAATGTAAAACATTTAAAACGGGATTCCTCTGGACAACAAGCAGTTGGTGCTGGGCTTTTGGGGACTTTGCCTACACGATTGAACATTGCTTCGCAAAAGACATCTTAGCCCCTAGTCAACACTTCGGCTCCCCGAGCAAGCAGCCTCTCCGGGAGTTCCCTACCTAAATGAACAAAGGCTGGTTTCTTTTTTTTTTTTTTTTTTCTTTTTGGTTTTTCGAGACAGGGTTTCTCTGTATTGTTTTAGAGCCTGTCCTGGAACTCGCTCTGTAGACCAGGCTGGTCTCGAACTCACAGAGATCCGCCTGCCTCTGCCTCCCAAGTGCTGGGATTAAAGGCGTGCGCCACCAACGCCCGGCCAAAGGCTGGTTTCTAGGCACGGGAGAAATAACTGCCCTCCTCCCGACTTGACTTTTTGTTTGACTCTTTGGCGTTACTGTGAACTCGTTGCTTTCTAGCTGTGTTGATTTGGAGTAGGCGCAAAGGAATGTGAAAAGGGAAAGGAAAAGAGAAGAAGAAAAGGTGACCGAATTATACGACCTCCTCCGGGTAGTTTCTTCTCAAACCCCGAGTCTTTGTTTAGATTTTGCCCTTCTCGCTCCCAAGCCCTCTTATCGCCCCGCACCTGGCCCCAAAGCCCACAAACCCGAGACTTTCCACTGCCGTATGGCGCCATCTCCTGTCCTTGCAAAGCAGTGAAACGTGAATGTCAGATCAAAAGTGTTCCAGCGCGGTGGGTGACCTTTTGTTTGTCTTTCTTAAAAGTTCTTAATTTAGATATTTAGGGCCAGGCCTTGGTGGCGCCCACGTCTTTAGTCCCAGCACTCGGGAGGCAGAGACAGGCGGATCTCTGTGAGTTCCAGACCTTCTGGTCTACAAGAGCGAGTTCCAGGACAGGACCCAAAGCCACAGAGAAACCCTGTCTCGAACCCCCACCCCTACATAAAATAAAATAAAATAAGCATACAAAAAGAAACACTAATAACATTGTTGCTGAGGTGATGTAATGAAGGTGCAAACATTCTAATTTAGCTTGTCTCTGACTCCTCAGTCCTGAAGCCCCTTCAGCAAACACTTATTTACAAGGCCAGGGGGTGAGTTCGAGACTAGCCTGGTCTACAGAGTGAGTTCCAGGACAGAGAAACCTTGTCTCGAAAATAAGAAGTTAATATTTTAAAAAGTTTACAGATTTAATCCCAGCACTCGGGAGGCAGAGGCAGGTGGATCTCTGTGAGTTCGAGGCCAGGCTGGACCGACAGCCTCCAAAACAATACAGAGAAACCCTGTCTCGAAAAACCAAAAAAAAAAAAAACTTATTTATTTTGGGGCTGGAGAGATGGCTCAGCGGTTAAGAGCACTGACTGCTCTTCCAGAGGTCCTGAGTTCAATTCCCAGCAACCACATGGTGGCTCACAACCATCCGTAATGAGATCTGGTGCCCTCTCCTGGTGTGCAGACATGCATGGAGGCAGGATGTTGTATTCATAATAAATAAATAAAATCTTTAAAAAAAACTTATTTATTTTTAGGGTACATCGGGGTTATATATATATCTGTGTGAGGGTGTAGGATCCCCTGGAACAGGAATTACAGACAGTTGTGAGCTGCCATGTGGATGCTGGGATTTGAACCTGGATCCTTTGGAAGAGCAGCCAGTACTTTTAACCAATGAGTAATCTCTCTAGCCCTACAGTTGGATTTTTTTTTAATTAAAAAGTAAATTTTCCTGGGCTAGACCAATAGCCTCCAAAACAATACAGAGAAACCCTGTCTCGAAAAACCAAAAAAAAAAAAAAAAAGTAAATTTTCTGTCATGAATTGATTACATGGAATGAACACGGTTAGGTTTATGAATATTTGTGGATTAAATGAATGACTCCAGTCAGTGGAACAGTTACTCACTTTTTTTCTGCCTCTGTTATTTCACAGACTGTAGACCAGCAGGGCCTTTAGGCATCCATCCAAACTCTGTGTTATGCTCAGTGGAGAATGAATTTTGAGGGATTTAGGGATTCAGCTGTGGTTGAGGAGAAAACTGCTGGGCTAACCGGAAAGAGAAGCTAGGCCTCCGAGAGCACCTCTCTACACCACTGACTCTCAAGCACTGGTGAGCATTGGAGTCCCTTGAAAAGCTTGTTAACACAGAGTTCTTGTGGTTTAAAGGCGTGCGCCACCACTGCCCAGCTATTATGATGATGATGATGATTTTTTTTTTTTTTGAGACAGGGCTTTCACTCGGCGATCCAGGTGGGTCTGGAACTTGAAGTAATCTTCTGGCCTCAACACTTGAATCAACAAGCATTAAGGGGGGGGGAGCCGACAAAGTCCTGAGTTACTGTGTATTGTTGACATGAACACAGCCGGGTACCTCAGACCCATGCGAAGGGCAAAGCCTCCCACTGGTTCAGAGGGATGGCAGGCTTTATTTCTGTGGAGGTACAGATGTTGACAGTATACCCAGAAACTATCAACAGCTCCCTTCCAGATGCCTACACCTGAGATTGCTCCTTCCAGAGACCCCCTCAGAGAGTAGCTAAAGCCCTCTTTCTCCTTTGTGGTGTGGAGGATAAAGGTCCTGCTCTTGCCTCTCCTCCACGGGTCACCCCAGGCAGGTCAATCTTAGGCTGAATAGGTCACAGAGAGATCCAAGACCGCCTCTGGAACTTGGTGTGGATTAAGGCTGGTCTTGAACGTCTGATCCTACTGCTCTACCTCTCAAATGCTGGGGTCACCAATGTGTGCCACCATGTTTGCTGAGAAACTTTCTTTTCTTCCCCCCAAGACAGTGTTTCTTTGTGTGTAGCCATAGCTGTTCTGTAACTCACTCTGTAGACCAAGCTGACCTTGAACTCACAGAGATCTGCTTACCCTTGCCTCCCAAGTACTGAGACTGAAGGTGTGTGCCACCACCACCTGGCTTATTGTTTCGTTTACTCGTCTATCTACATCTTTTCTTGACTGCTGAAAGGAAGTACATTAGAAAGATTGACTTTTCACTCCTTATTTCTCTCTCCTTCTGTTCCACCTGCCCCTCTGGGTGCTGGGAACTGAAGTTAGGAGCTTGCACATGCTGGGCCAACACTAACCCTGAGCACACACCACACATCCATCCATTTCCTGCTTTCATCTTTGTTGTTGTTATTTTATTTTATCCCCCTCTCTCAGATGAGGGTCTCACTGTGTAGCTCCGATTGGCCTTGAACGACGGATTTTTCTGTAGTGCTGAGATTTTCTGAGTGCTGAGGTTTTGGCATGGGCCCAATTACTCCTTTTTCCTTTTCATGTTTTCAATTTTGGGAACTGTACTCAGGGGCCTTGTGTGTGATGGTTTCAGTCTCAGCTCTCCTGTTACTTCTTATTTTGAGACAGAGGCTCATCAAATTGCCCAGGCTAGCCTTGAGTTTATCTGCTTCCTTGCAGCCTCTCCAGTGGCCGGAATAAAGGCTTTTTCAAAGAACAAAGAGAGCTCAGCAGAGAAAGTACTTGCCTAGCAAGCATGAGGAGAATTCAGATCTCTGGAGCCAATGTGAATATGGACATGTTTGGTGGCTGGGAGCCATCAAGGAAGACCCTGTAAACCTGTGGT